GGCGAGTGGACGAGAAAACGAAAAACAGCGTGAAAGCGTGCTAGTGCGAGGGACAGGGATGTAGGGAGATACAGAAGAGATGAAAAACAGGACAAGACGGACAGAAAACGTTGTGACTTTAGGAATGGCGTCTTGAGCACGTGGCCGGCCCCCCACGGCAGCTCCCCAGGCGCAACACCATCACCACTACCAACACCAACAACAACAACCAACAACCACCAGCAACAACCAACAACCAACAACCAACAACCAACAACAACAACCAACAACCAACAACAACAACCAGCAACCAACAACAACAGCAACCAACACCGAAAACCAACCACCAACATCCCACAACACACACAGTGACGATCGCCAGCAACAACCAACAACAACAACCAACAACCACCAGCAACAACAACCAACAACCAACAACAACAACAACAACAACAACCAACAACCAACAACAACAACCAACAACCAATAGCAACAACCACCAACAACAACAACAACAACCAACAACAACAACAACAACAACCAACACCGAAAACCAACCACCAACATCCAACAACACACACAGTGACGATCGCCAGCTCACCTTTCTGCGGTCGTGCAAGACGTCCTGCATCTCCAGGTTGTTCAGCGCGTAAGGCCTTCGAAGCTTCACGTAGGCCTTTGCCTTGTCGCTGGGGAAACCGTGGGAGTAGAAGGCCACGAGGCAGTCGCACAACGGCCACTCCTCCACAGGAGCCTCCATGATACAAGCGTCTCCGAACACGATCACCTGGAAGGGAGTGGAGTAGGGTGGAGTGGGGTCCGTGTCCTTCCAAGGTTTCAAGTCCGAACGGGTTCACATGGCGTTCGGCATAACTGCTGTCTGTTGGGGAAGGAATGGTTTTCCTGTGCTGCTCTAAAGAAAATAGACGCCCGCACAAACGAAATGACGACCCGTTCGAGACGACACCCCAAAACCTTAAGGGATTCATGTTTATCTTCACAGCAGTAGCCGGGGGTGGGCGGCGATATATGGCGGTGGTGGCGCAGCTGCAAGAAATGGTCGCCGTCGTAACCGGCTTTTCGGCGAAGAAAGGAGGCCCCGTATCTTGCTTTAAGAATGAACCAGAAAGGCGCCTACCGCTCGCCCTGTTGAGAACGCACCGGGCACCGTAACGTGCGGTACGAGCGAGGCACGAGCGAGCCGCATCACTCGTCGTATTGTCGTCATCGCTAGCCTCATACACCCGTTGGCCGTCATACCAAGGCCACGCTAGTCCTCTGGTGCAGCCGCACTGCTGTAGCCCTCTGATTGGCTGCCTGCTGTGGGTGGCTTGTCTGTTGATGGTTGTGTTTGTCTCGATTATTGTTTTTTCTATCCTTCTCTTGATAAAAAATCCAGTCGGATTCAGAACATTTCCAGGCGCGCTGGCGCTAAAAAAAAAACAAAACAAAAGACGCTCTTGCCACAGATGAGCATGTTCCACATGAACCAGTCCATAACATGACTAAATGTTCAAGGAACCCGTTTGAATACTTTTATACGGTGACTTTTCATGTGGCCGAAACACCAGACGTTGTCAGCAAATGTATCCAGGAACGGTATATTTCTTGCTTGTCTCATCGGCCACGAGAAAAATTTTGAGTCCTTTGCTCCATGTTCCCAAAATTTCAGGGAGGTTACTAACCCGATGTCGTTAGCCTACCCCCTTGTGTATGTGGTTGTCAGTGTGTGTGTGGCGTTCCATCCGTTCTGGACGTCGCAGCAGGCTGCACACCAAGGCAAAATAAAGTCTTCGCCTTGTGCCGTCTTCAGTACCCCACGCCTCTGTAGCTAAACACCAAAGCTACCTTCCATCCCCATTCGCGCATTTGACGGTTTGAGAGGGTGGGGGGGTATTCCATGTTAGACCGTCGCTCGCGACTCGCGACAGCCAGTGACTTCCCAACTTTTTAACAAACGCTGGCTGGTGGTGCATGTTTTTTTTTGTGCTGGATGAGTACGACTCCGTGGGGCGGCGTGGGGGGACTCTCCTGCCCGCAAGCCTTCAACCCCCAGCACTTGGAAACAAAAATAATGTTACGCGAGAACATGTACGCTACCATGCAAAAAATCGTGAGCATCTATCTCATTGAACCGTAGAAGGGCACATCCGCCGGCTGTTCATCCAAAGGTCAAACCACGTTCCGTGAAAGAACCCTGCATGTTCAGAAAGAACAACTTGCGAGAGGCAAAACACGTCACTAACACGCCCCCACGCCCCGCTGCTTCGGCTCCTCCCCGTGCATAACAAACGGCCGAGAGGAACAATCGCCGGGAGTCTCTCTGGGAAAAGAAGAACAATCTCCGGTGATGACCAATGCTAGATATTACATGTTCACGCGAAGATCGCAAAAAAAAAAATAACAACAACGGCGGAACCAGAGGGAGAGCGGGAGTTGGGTGTGTGCATGCAGAGTTTGGTCCCCTGAATTGTGTTTGTGTTTGAAGTCCGGACGCGCTGCGGTGGGAACCTTCCTCTTTTCGGCGTCGCCCGCAGGGGGAAAATGTGTGCAGCTACAAGGTGCTTTCGGGCACAACGAGCCGCGAGGAATGATTGAAACTGTCTTTTGCCGGTGATCGATGTTGTAGTGGAATTCACGTAAAACAATCGTGCCGTTCCGTTGTTCTAAACAAAAGTGGAAACCTCTTAGAGGTAACATCTACCGGTCCAACTGAACGGACGCCTTCCGTGGCCACATGCCCGGCACACAACGAAAAACTGTGCCACATCCGGTCTGTATGTACATACAACTACGCATGGCGTGCGCCAGGATGCAACTGCTATATGTAAGAGACTGCGTGGTGCTGAGCAGCAGCCGGCCGCCCCCCCCGCCTGCACGTCGGCGTTCTCGATTGCCGTCGCGTTTGTATTTCCTTCGTCTCGGGCCTATCCATTAGACTATGGGTGGTGCCGTGGTGCCAGTGTACAACATGCCTTTCGGTGTCATGGTTGACTCAACAGCCACTGTCATGTAAGACAGATGGACAGGGGTATTTTTTGTTTTGTTTTGTGAGAAAAACTCACTCGTTCGCTGTGTACAGCTGTACATAGTACATTAAAGAGGATCTACAGAAGTGGTACAAGTATATTGTAGCGTAAAGAGGATACCGGAGAAGTGTTGTAGCACACATACGCAACATGAACTATTAATTCATCAACAACATGAATTATTAATTCATCTGCAACATTAATTAATGATTCACGTCGCATCATTAAGGAATAATAAAAACACACACAGAAAGACTACCCATTCGAGATATACCCACAGTCGAACGGTCCTACACACAAGAGTGTACACAGCAGTACATGCATGCAGCATGCAAGAGAGCGACCACTCCAACATCTAAATCACCATTCAACCGCGCTTGTCGCGTCAACCCCCGTGTGGACCTGCCGGAGAGCACTGCGGTCTCCTCGATGGAGGGTCTCCAGCAGGGGACTACTGCTGGACGGCTGTAGTGTAGTAGACCTCCCTCCCTGCTGTATCTACAATCTACACAAGATAAAGTTGTCAAAGCGGCCGCGAAGTGTCACAGAACACATGTTGTAAAATGCTGGTGCAGCGCTGCTGCGTGCTGCTTCATGGAGAGGAGACCTGTTGCGCCCTCCGCCGCCGTGGTGCCTACCCACACGGCACCGTGTCCGTATACTGCTGCTGCTGCTGCTGCTGCACAGCCGTGTTTGCTCCTCGAACGAGACGAAGTCTTTTTTTAGTCTCTCGAGGGATTTGAACGCAACTGGCAACGTCAACTTTCAACCGGAACCGACCACACACAGGCCATCGCTGCTGCTGTGGCCTGGTCCTTCCACACCGGTCCAACGAAAAGAAAACTATATTTGGCTGCTGTGCCTCTCCGTGCCCCCGTGCTGCCCAAAGAGTGCGGCACACCAGCTACCCACCATGGGAGCTGGGTGGTCTACTAGGCCGCACGACAGAGAGAGGGGGGAGAGAGAAGACAGCCTTCGACCACACCCACACGCCAGCCCGCACCTCGAACTTATCCCTGTTGAGCCGTGATGTGATTGCCTCCATGTGTTTGGATCGAGCTTTCTTCTCGCGAGCACAGACTCCGACCGTGATCTTCCCGTCAGAGCGGCGCAGCCTCCCGACCCATTGGGCCTTCTGGCCGTCCCACCCTTTTCCTTTCTTGTCCATGTTTGGTTGTCTGTGGGCTGCTGGCTCCCCCTCCGGATTTGGTGTGTGGGCTGGCTTTACAGCTTTTCCTCGTTGCGTGAGCGAGAAAGGGTTTCAAGAAAGGTTCTGGAGGCGTCGTCGTTGAACATACACACGCTCACATATTTCCATTCCACCTCTGGTGCTTGCATACCAAGCGGCCAGGCTTACCCCCTCGTGTGACGAGCGTTGTGTGACTATTGGAGTACGTAGCGCTACCCTACGTTGAGCGGACGGTGGTCACTCGGCGGTGGTGGCAGGCTCCAAATTGGGTTCTTTCCTGTTTCTTGCTCCCTCGCTGTGCGCTCTAAACGCTCCGCCCGGATTGGCTGATTCAAAACGAAACCGTTCGTTTTCGACGACAGCGGACCGCCCTCTCAAGCCCTCGAGCTCAACACTGCCTGTCAGCAGCGGTGTATCTCCCAATCACCACGCAAATATCGCGGGAGCAGCTCACTCGTTCGTACCTGATGTTCGACTTGGCTTGGCTGAATGCCAAGTCCCAAGCACCGCCTGACAGACGGGTCCCCCGAGTATGAGTATGGGATACGAACATCACCACCGCCTTTGGCAGAGGTGCTGGACAATGCGGGTTGTCGCCTGTTCCTTGACGCCATGCGCAAAGCGGGAAGATTTGAGGGGGCAAATAGCATAACCATTATCGCACCGAACGACGGCGCCTTCCCTTCAGGTGTGAGCTCTTCTTAGTTTTATTGTGTGCAATAACCCTACGGCTACGTAAATATGTAGCTCAAAGCGCGGGTAAGCGCAAGAATAGAAGGGTTCAAACTTCGGTTGATCGGTACAACAACCTTGGACGACCGGTCTAGACTACTGTAAACTACAGCATGGTAGTGTTCGCACGGCTAAAACAAAGAGGCAGATGGTGCCGAGCCAAAGCGAGACTGTGCAGGTATGTCGTGTCACCAGTATATGTGCACTCTGCGCATTAGTCTACTGGGCATCCGAGACTGCTGTTGTTATGCAAGTTTAAACACAAGAGTCTAACGAACTGTTCATTTTGGCACGACTACGCCGTGATTTGTGCGTTCGTTCTCCTTCGTTATTTCGAATGCAGCGTTGCTCCTGCGCTACAGTATCTCGATGCAGCGCACTGGCACGCTGTGATTACATCACATATCTGTGCGTGCGTACCCCACCTCTCGATGTCTTACGTTGGAACCGGTCTCGTTTCTGTGGTGTCCCATGATGTTGTTCTTGGGCGTCTTGTATAGCGGACGCGTTCGATGATTCTTCGTGGGGACTGCACATCATGGACGGCGCCTATAAAATAGGAGGTGGGTACCAATGAGCAGCAAAAACACGCTTAGACTAGTATTGTTGTTCAGTGACACAACGCAATGAATGGAAGAGTGGTCGTGGTCGGCATCTCCGGAACGTGATGCTCTTGCTCCACACAGCGATGCCAAGTCTGTTCCAACCAGCATCGCCTCAAATCTGTGCGGAGTTTCCGATCTGTCGATCCTGTGCATTTTCAACGCGAAAGCTAAATAACAAATAACCTTGTAACCCGATGGAAACTTCGTGTTTGTCGGCGCCAATGCTCTTGAAAGAACAGAACTGGTAAATTTCAACGGGGGTAGGGTGCAGCCTCAGAGCCTGGAGCCAAAGCACGCTCTAATCTTCCGCGTCGAGATCGGGGGCCACATGGTGTGTGAATACACGACGACACGCGCAACAGGCAGAGGCGAAGCAACCAATGACTCACAATATATAATGACTCATGTAGGCTGTACGTGATGAAGTACGAGGCAATATGTGGTAGGTAGAAGCAGCGCACAGATAATTGCCTGCGCACAGATAATCGCACGTATCAACCGATGCGTCGGAAGTGCTTCATACCAAACGAAAGAGGGCAACGAAGCAAGTTTCCCATAGTTTCGATCGCACCGGCAGTGATTCAGCGTGGAGCTCTTACGAACACTACTCCGCGAAGTGCGGCTTTTGTTCTTTCAGAATACCTCAGCTGCCACGTAGGTATTGCGCCGTTGCTTGCGTTTCTCGCTCAACGCTTCCTTGAGAATCCAGAGAGAGAACAGCTCATAGGAGATATCATATAGTATGTTTCACCGTATGCATACCTGCTCTCTATTCATGCTGGTTTCATTGAAAGGTGGCCTATGTCTCCGGCGAAACCAAGCCAGCACGCCGAACGCGCATGGTCAAGACGGATCTCATCGCCCGCAACGGAGTGTTCGTACACGTCGTGGACAAAATCTTGTACGCGGAATAGTTTCTCCAGAACGGTGTTGGTTCTATGCACGATGTTTAATCGAAGGAAATAGTCCTTTTCCGCCTTTCTTTTCGTGCGATCTGCGGCCGCCATCTTCGGTGTTGCCGCCCGTTGCCCGTTGCCCATCAACACGTGCGAAGACTGATCGGCAGGGAGGCCGAAGCGAGAGCAGAGTAAAATATGGGCGCAAGTATCACAAGGAGACAAGCAAAAAACTTCTGAAGACGGGAATGTTGGTCTGTTCGAACGTGTGTACGTGCGCCGGCACCGCCTGAAAAAGAGGGCAGCCCCTGACGCTATTTCCGATCGAGGCGAAGACTTCCAGGTTGCCCGCAGGAGGAGGTTCTCTATTCTTAAGGTGCCTCCTCCTAGACGAGCCGACTCAACATGAAAAATCGACGCAGGCACGGCAATTTGCTCTCGAGCGTTGTGTGTGTTCCCGGTAGGTATACGCCGCGAGCACAACTTGCGGACCCTTCCAGGAAAAAAGAAGGGCGAACGCACATCATTACGTGCCATGCATGCATTCATCATTTCCTCATCGCGTACATTGCACAACATATGGAAACGTCTTCATATCGACGGCCACGCACGGTGGAATTCCGACTACTTGCCTACCAAGGACCAGAGAAGATACATTTGAGGGTAAGCTGCATGTCGTTATTTTGATATTGGGACAGGCAGCTCGAAGCACCGATAGTGGCAATAGTGCCGATCGATCAATGTACACACAGAGAAACTGGTCGGCCAGATGGCACGGTAGACGGCGATCGAAAAAACACGCCAACAGATACCGACTTGTTCGTCCGTCAAGACGGACGTGTTGTGATAGCTCAACCGGTGAGCCTTATCAATCCTCAACAACACAGAAGGACACCTTCCATCAGCTGCGACTACATACCTCGGTATCACAACGGTATCACTTAATTCGTTCCTTTCATCGCTAGTGTCGGAAAAAACGAAAACGCTGCTCAATTTCATCCAAGTCATTCCCGCGATTCTGAGACCACCCAGGTTGCGCTGCGCAAGAGGCCGAAGAGAACGGAGCACAAGAGTTCGCAGTGTGTCCTGATGTTTGTCCTGATGTTCCACGGAGGGTCGACCCCCTCGAACGCCCAAATGAGGCGTTTTACTTCGTCCTCCGGCGAACTGTTTTCCACAAATCTCAAACCTGCGGGTTAGCACAGCGGCGGCGGTCGGGAGCGAAAAAGTTGCGTGGATGTCGGGAACTCCGGTTTGTGATCTTGGATTAAAAAAAAAAAACTCGACAAGCGAGTCCCCGGGCTTGGAAAAAACATATTTATACGTAAGCAGTAGTCCCGAGAGAGGTACAGCAGTAGAGGAGAGAGACCCCTTCTCCTAGAGTGGCCCGCGAGGGTCGTAGTCCTACACAACAAAGTTTTTTTTTATAGTACAGAGATGTCCATACTCCGGTACTGTATGGCGACATGATACTCGAAGCAACAGCTCGCTACGTGAGAGCCCCCCTCGACCATCATCATCGTGACAGGACCTACGCTCGCTCACCTACGTTCATCCACACGTAATATGTCGCGTACCATTCACTGCCGTAGGACGAGGAAAAGCTATACTGTGTTCGGCGCACCTTTTCTTGCACCAAGGCCTTGACGGGCTTCGCTTGGAGACCTGACTGCTGAATCTTGGTCAGTGAAACCGCTCTCATCTTCCCCGCGAGGAGCCAGTTTTTCTCTTATGGTCCCAACCCTAGAAATACAAAAAACAGTTACGCTTGGCTCGACGTACAAAGCAACGATGCCACATTGGGTCAGTCGTCATCTCTGTGTCGGTCTCGGCCTGTACACCGCTCTACGATCGTAGGCGGGCATGCGGGCCTTGCTCCACCTGAAGCACCACAACTCGTGCAGAAAGGGCGCGGTGTTCTCGAACAAGAAGCCCTGCAACTTCAGGGCAGCAAAAAATAGATAAATAACGGCCAAACAAGAAACAGTCGACGGAGGACAATAGGTCGGCGGGGTGGGCCCGCGAAATCAACCAGTACTTCGTGTGACTATAATAGGAGCGAAAGAAGGGGCGGCAAAAAATGACATCTGGAGGGGGGGGGTGGGGCGCAAGATGTGCACCTAGCGCCCACGCGTATATTCATCGTGTGCTGCTGGGCGGCACCAAGGCCAGCAGTAACACAGAGCGCGAAGGACCGCCCGCAACATCTCGCAGAAAAAGCAATCCAACACGAATCATACGATCCTCGAAGAAAGAGCTCTCTGAATAAATTGGCAACGGGCGGTCAGTCCCTTCGGCATGGTAGGCCGCGTTGCCAGAAGCAACAGAACTTTCGTTGTAACGCATCGGGTACAGAGGTCATCTGATTGAGGCACGCCGATTCAAGTGGTGTCTCTCACCCGATCCCCCCACCTCACCCGATTTCGCGAACATGAAAGACGCAAATAGAAAGAGTGCAGAGTGCTCCATGACCTTTTGGCACGGTTGTTGAATACGTAACATAGTTTGCGCGCAGCACGAGGCAAGCGTGAACTAGAAGGAGACCACTAAGAACGGGTTGAAGATAAAGAGATAGACATGGGTTCACCTGCTGTCTCAATCCCAACCTACACCGGCACTTTTAGTGAGGATACTGCTCTGAACGCAATAGACTGCCCGCTGAGCAGGGCGGCGGCGGGGGGAGTTCAACACAATGCGGGAACCGTTCCTCAATCGTTTCGACAAAAAATGACACAGAGGTAAACACAACTTCGCCAACCTGCTCCTTGACGGTGCAGTAGCCGTCTTGCGTGTCAACATCATTGTCCTTCAGCAGCGCCCGCACGATATCCTCCACCAACCGAGTGTCCATCCCCCCACCCCCCCTGGTGCCCGGAGCCGCCGCTTGAACGTCCCTGGCGATCCACGATCGAAGCTGGTCCAGCGGCTTTGGCCGCCTGCAAAGCGAGTGGAAGACGTAGGCGGCATTGTGGTCTTAGCGCCTTTATACTTTGCACCCTTCAGGCATCGGAATGACCCAGAAGGTTCTAGGGTTGACAGTACTTTTGGTGCGGGTTCAAAGCCGCCGACAAAAAAAACGCAACGTGTCCTGGTTTACATCATACAGCGAGCTCGCCCAGTTACAACATGTAGATACCAACGGCTACCAGATAGCAGAGGGCTGTGCCCAGCCCCCGTTGATCTCGTTTGTTCAACATGACAATTTTTCGGGTGTCGAACAGACGAGACTTGTGGTAGACCCAGCGGATGGATCCCATCACAGCATCGTATGATAGCAATTTGGTCGTGAGTTCACGAGACGTACCTCGCTTTCTCTGCGGGGGGCTCCGCCGCCAAGCCCCTTCTGTACACCAGGGACCGGAACTCGGGTCCCGTCCTGCCGTCAACAACCGCGGCACCCCCACTCGCTCGCGCGCCCTCGTCTCCCCCCCCGACGCGCCCAGATGTCTCGGCCGCGGTGCCGCCCGCTGCCGGAGGCGACGGCAAAGACCCCTCCGCGCCCCCCCCGCCGCGTTTCTTGACAGAGACATGCGTGTAAATCTCGTAATCCTTGGGAGACTTGATCTCGTGGAGTACTCGTGAGACGGTGACCTTGCATAGGGGGCACCGATCGGAGGCCTTGAGCCACTGCATAGGTTGTATGCAGGTAGGCGGCGGGCGTTTTTGGTTGCGAAGGGGGAACGAAGTGCACGCGGAACGGGCGGAGGGGGAGAAGGCGAATGAGCCACTGTGTAATGCCGGAGAAATGATGGAGACATGGCGACCCCGAGGCGTTCGTTCGTTAGTTCCTTCATCCTGCGGGCATACAGTGGGGGACGTATGTCGTTTCAGTAGGTGATGGCGCTTTCGGCAGGGCACGCGTTCGTACGACTCTACCAGAAAATATCTCCAGTTCGTGCGTTGCGTACGGCACAAGGGGATGAATTGCTTCTTTCCCACCTCATGTTGGGTGCAACAATGATGTTTGGGACAAATCTTCTCCTCGAATAAAGTGTACTGCTGTAGTGAAAGGATGATACAGCACCAGTGGCATCACCTCCTGAGGTCCGTTGTAGAAAGACCCTTCGCTCAGTGTCAAGCTGCGTTTTGGCGTGAGTTGTACTTGGCTTGAGCCTCGAAGGTTTCTACGTATCCCATGCTTGTCTCAAGGCATTTTTCTCTGTAGCACACATGCGTGGGTCGAAATCGGGCCTAATAACGATGTGGCTTCCGCTGAGCACAGCCCGTTGAAGCTGCTCTGTGTCTGTTCTGCTGCTCAACCCCTCTGCTGGGAGGTCCCATACGGATGTCTTTCTACCTCCATTTTCGGATTTTACCCAGTACTGCTGTACGCTCGCTGCATGACCGTATATACGCATGGAGTCACACGCTAAATTAGAGCGCTTGCAAAGTGCTCCGCCCGATCTGAACGACACCGCGTACCAGATATTTCCATATTTTCCCATGCGAACATGTATTCCGTTTGCATCGGTACCCCTATGAATTCAACGAACCAGTACTACACGGGACGTCACACTTGCTGTGGATTCCACGACCTTACCTCAAACAAGCACACTTTGCAATACAAGTGCCGGCACGACTCGATCATCGCCGAATCCTCGACAAGACCCAAGCATATAGGGCAGTGGTGGCCGCGAAAGGCGTCCGTACTGCAACTGCTGTCCTCCTGCTGGTGCTGCTGGTGCTGCTGCTGGTGCTGCTGGTGCTGGTGCTGCTGGTGCGGCGGCGGCGCGTCGCCCGGCGCGGCAGCCCCGCCGCCTTCTTCAACCTGCTGCTGTAGTCGTCTCCTCTTCGCCGTTTGAGCGTAGTGAACATACGCAAACTCATCCTCTTCCTCGCCCCCATCCTCCCACTCCTCCATGATTTCTCCAACAAGCTCGTTGCCGGTGTTCTATGAATTCGGCACACAACGCAGCACTGCAACCACTGCCTGTTGGTCTCTGCTGCAACAAGTGCGGCGGAACTATCGACTGCCGGAAGCGCGCGGAACACCTCTGACAAAGAGCGACGAACTGGTTTTCACAGCAGTTTGACGGGGGAAAAGGCGGAGGTGTGCGTGCTGCTGACACGACCTCGACACAGCAGTGCCGCCGTTGAGAGCTAGACACGCAGAGGGGACAGCGAACGAACGACACCCATCGGCAGGCGAAAGAGCACGGGCGGAGGCGCTAGCGTTGCCGGAGAGGGAGTTGCTCGTGGGAGCCACAGATTGTCGTCATGTCGAAGCGCGACTAGTGAGTTGTTCCACAGCAGCAGTAGCAGCAGCAGCAGCAGATTGTAGGCCTGGTTTTCCGCGCTCTCTCAGCAAGTACACCTACCAAGGCCGTGTGATCGAGTAGATACAACTCGCGTAGTTCTGGAGGGCTACGTCGACGCAACCAGGGCGTTGGCCTGTGGGGGCAGTGTGATGCGTGGCAAACCGGCCCGGCGTGTGCTATAATAGTTTCGGTTCGACCGCCCCCTCGGCCTCTTGTTTCCCCCTACATCCTACAGTACTTATAGGAAAGACAAAGAGGAAAAGTGTCTGTACAATTGCACGCCCCTTTGCCTGCCTACTGCTGCCTTCTCTCAGACAGAGCAACAGCCGTCTGCTGCGGTGGTGTCTCAGCAAGTGGTGCGTTGTTGTTCTGCTGGGTGTGCGTGCGTGTGCGTGTAGCGAATCCGATGGTAATTATTTCGCAAAGTATGTATGTCCCGGGTGCTGCTGGTGCTGCTGCCGTGTTTGCACACGCGCGCGCGGGTCTTTTGTCGGGCAGCAGGGAAGTTCCCGGTGGATTTATCTCAAACCTCCGCGGGGGAGGAGGGGGGACAATGCAAAATGTCTACAGGTAAACGCGGCACGCGCGCGCGTACTCGAGGCTATGACGCATTGCAACCGCGTCTTTCCTCTTCGTGCATTAACATCTCGCGTGCGAGTGCAAGTAGAGACAGACAAGGGGGAGGCGCCGCCCGAGATTGGTACAACAATCCTTGCAGCGCGTACCAACCCTTTCGCTTGGCATCGATTTCCTTACCTTTTGACGCTCTTACTGCCACTTGGTGGTGGGTGAAAGCGCAGGTACCTCCTGTAGTACAACTGAGAGTGCATCTAATTTGCCAATGGGGGACAGCAGTAGTAAGCAAACCAAGTAGGAAACGTATCTACATACCAACGTGTAGACAAACCTCGAGCACAGCAGCACTGCTTCGCGTATGCAGTACGGTATAGTCTACAGTACAGCATACAATGTAGCATCATGATTTGGGTGTGTGATGAATACCGAGCGAAGAACTCTCTGCATGGTATCTGATGGTGTATGCCTGCCTACGTCTAGACCGCAACGGCGAACGGGGTGGCCAGCGTGTAGAATAATTCCGCGTGTGTACCAACATGCACAAGAGTTGATGTTGCACTCAGTGGAGTCGGTCTCTTGTGGAAACACGTTGGCGACGTAGTCTGCTGCTGTACATCCGCCTCTTGCCGCAGAGCTGCTCTTTGCTCGCGAGTAGTGTACAAGTATGGCTTGGCCACCGACCAGCGCCTCCCTCTTTGTTCCCGTACACTTGGCCGAAACGAATGGAAGAGATCTAAGTGCCCATCAGCAGTATTGGGGAACCGACTGAGAGGGCATCTTGATTCACTGCTGTGTTGTGTACAAGAGGAGAGGACACGTTGACTTCGTATCAAGGCGCATGGTGGCTAATGTCGAGGCTGAAGCAGGTAGCCACCCAAGCAAAATAACGAGGCCGGCATGCTGCCAGCGTGATGCCTGGTTCGTGTTTGCCCCTTGCGGTGCTTACAGACCCACTGTTCCAAGCGTATGCCCACCTACTTTTTCGAGCTGCCGTTTTAGTTCATTTCATGTCTTGAACATGGCGCCATAGCTCAAATACACTTTGAGTGGAATCCATAGCTGGTGCACCGTTCCATTAACAGAGATGAAATAGCTGCTGTGCCTTCTCGGAACCAGACCTGGGGTATCGCACGCCGTTCCCTGATTGTTCACAAATGCTCCAAGTCGACACCTACCGCCACTCGGTCTGCGCTTTGACAACCCGAGTACCGAAACACGCATGGCTTTCGCCTTTGGTACGACCTGGGCCGGCCGCCTTGTTATCTTTTGGGCAACGAGTGCTTTTGGCAAAGGCGTTTAGCTCGCGCAGCAGTAAAAATGGTACCAGTCACTTGTCATCGAAGTTCCAGGCCTATGTCCCCTTCAAGCCAAACCCCAAGGTTGCAGCCCGCTTGCTGCGGAGCGCTCTAGGTCGACCTTGTGGACCCGTTACTGTTGCGTTCCGCGCCACTGGCCGGGCGGTAATTGGTGCTCTTGCCATATAACCCAATCACCGCCCTCTGTGAAGACTGTGGCAAAAGACGACGGCACCGCTAACTGCTGCACGACCCCCCCCGTGTCGCTGCCGTTTGCTCTCGTGTCTCTTGCGTTTTGTTTTTGGTGCAGCGATCACCTTTTCAAACTCGTCCTGATCGGCGATTCCGGCGTGGGCAAGTCGTGCCTGCTGCTGCGTTTCGCTGACGATGCGTTCACGGACAGCTACATCAGCACCATCGGGGTTGACTTTGTGAGTCCTGTCGGTGTGATTTTTTTATGCTTGCGGTACTGTAGTCGGGGAACAAGGGCCCGGGTCAGTAGAAGCGTTCGTGACCTTCGTGAGAAAGGGTGTCTTGGTTGATGCACAGCGTTGGCATCCACAGAATATGCAGGGCAAAAAATAAAAACCTTTGATGGGAACTAGGCAGTCGTTTCGAAGGATAAGCCCAGGTGGCATAAGATAGAAAACAAGGTAAGGACGAAGGATAAGCCCAGGTGACGTAAGATAGAAAACGAGGTAAAGGCAGCAAAGGCGAGAGACCTCGCAAGGGACAGGCAGGAGGATAGAGCGCGGCCGCTGTTTGGTTTTTGCGAAAGTGGACCGCTGGGCTTTGAATGGGAGGAGGCCTTCTTAGCCTGATGGAAGCGAGCAGACGAAACAACCGCAACGGCGGTGGATAGAGCGACCACCCACCCGCAATAGTTTTCGAGAGCGCCTCTCACCAACAGCGCTTACTCTTGATCCATTTCAAGGGCGCTTTCTTCTGCGACTACCTGAAGATGATGAAAGGCTGTATGGGGCTCGTGGCCGGAGCGCCGCCACTGTTATCATGCCTTGGTTCGTCTATCCCCACTGAGTGCTGTTAGCCCTCGCGCCCCAAATCACATGGCGAATACCCTCCCCCCCCCCTCCTTACCCTGGTCCGGTGAGAAGCCGGCGTGCTTCGTCCCGGCTTTGTAGGGATGCGAGGTCAATGGTCTAACGACTAGGGCATGCACAACTATGAGTACACCCCCCCCCCTCCCTACCGTCACAGTATCGATCCTTCCACCCACCACAGCCTAACCCTTGCTTCGATTTTCGCCGAAAACGTTCGTCTCCTTTTTCCCGTGCAGCGTTTCCGAACGGTGAAGATCGATAAGAAGACAGTCAAGCTACAGATTGTGAGTACGAGTGAATAGTTTTTATCATCGGGTTCAGGGTGCCAAAGGGTTGCTGACTCTTTCGGCCGCGATGGATGCTGCTGGCTTTTGCTGCCGGGTGGTTTTGATGTGGCGCCTCACGTGTTTCGTGGTCTGACATTGTCAGGGTTGGGTTAGGGTCAGGATTAGGGTTATGCCTTGCTCTTGCCCCGCTTTAAGTAGCTCCGTATTGCCCTGTTTGCGACGGGCGCTTGGTATGGAGGCGTGGAACACGACACTGTCAGGTATTCTGCTCGAGCGGGAAAGGAGCCATGGTTTGGGATGTCAGTGCTGGAATTTGGGTTTGGGCAAGCTTGGTGGGTGGAGGTGACAGTCGAGAGTCATGTTGCATATTCGAAGCATGTCTCTCGCGTCCCGTCAAATGCTGTAGTAGGCACTACTACGGCCGGAGGGGCGAGATCTGCCTGGCTCCCGTAATGGACGCCATTTTGCCGCCACCACGTGCAAGCCGATTTTCTTTCGTAAACGCCGCGCGCGTGGTTTGTGGCCGTCGCTTGTGTTTTGCTTCGTTTTTGCCTCCTGTTGCGTCATGTTATGCTCCGCGAGCAGTGGGATACCGCAGGGCAGGAACGCTTCCGGACGATAACATCGGCCTACTACAGGGGTGCGGACGGGATCATCATGGTGTATGACGTCACCGGGCAGGTAAGAGCGAAAGCGATTACGTTGTTGGTGCACTCCGCGCCTTACCGCGCGCGGAGCTGGGGGGTCGAATATCGGGACGGTTTTAGGTATGTTGAACCAAAGACCAAACGATGATGATGCGGACCTTTGCTTGATTAAGATGACCCGCCATACTCGTTCCAGAAAAACAAAGCATAAACAAGGAGACAAAAAATAGACTTGTGCGTGCTCTCTCTCTTGGGGGGGGGCGCACTTGGATCCCCAACAGCAGACCCCCTACGCACACGTAGTTCCCATTCGGATTTGGTGCCCATGTACCACAAACAAACCAAAAATTAGCGCGCCTTCGATCTTGTTGGGGCCTGTTACCCACGAGGGGGCTACGGCTGCTGCAAATGTCTCGCGGGAACGGTAGCCTATCTGTACTTGGGCGTGGGTTATCCCCTACCGAACTTCGGCCAGATTGGACGCAAGGGCGCGTACGCCACGTGGATGTATTGGCGAATTTCGCATCATTTGTTGTTGTTGTTGTTGTGCGAGGTTTTGCAATTATGAGCGCCCTGCAGCGTTCGCGTCTTGACCCAAACCCGAGGTGACCATTTCAAGTAATGAGGCCTTGGAGGAGAGAATGTCAACCACATCATGTTGAAATATCAAATTACAACCTTTGCGAGCGGCCTTTTCTCGACCACCTAAAAGTCTTCTTTAAGTCCTTCGCTGCATTGCGGGCCTGTACGTGACTACATGTACGACGTCGGCATGCTTGGAAAATTTTCACAAAGGAAATAGGACCGCATCATAGCGGCACCATCGCGTTCGACAAAACCGCAGACATGGAAATTAACATCGGAACATCTACGACAGGAGTACTTGGTTTTTTGTGGAAGGCAGATGCAGCTCATCTCCGTGATTTTGCCAGAAGGAAACCCTGAGATGGGAGAATGAAGCCTGTTGCGCTGCTCCATCACAGCACGAATCGACGTACACTTTGTTGTGACCAATCAACGGACATTTGCGCATCTTAGTGAAGTTCCTCATGCTGCTGCTGCTGCTGCTGCTGCTACTGCTACACTGACGTGGGGTCTCGTACGCCAATAGGAATCATTCGACCACGTGAACGATTGGCTGAGTGAGGTGAACCGCTACGCTAGCGAGGGCACAAGCAAGCTGCTCATAGGTGAGGGGTGGGTGAGGGGGTGGGTGTTACCGTGAAGTGTAAGTGTTTTGAACCCAACGGCCGCAAGTCGTAGTTTTTGCCGTTGCTCCGTTCGTGTCCATCCCATCCCACATCATACATCAACACGGAAGCAGTTCCATGTAAGACTGCATACAGATTTGTACATTTTTCTTTTGGTTCGTTGAAGTTCGCTGCGCTCTTCGAGTCAAAACCTCGTCAGCAGCTGTGTGAGCTATTGAGCTTGGGAAGCGTCACCACAGCTGGCAGCTGGCAGCTGGCAGCCAGCTGTGGGTTGGCTCCGGCGCCTGCTTTTGTTTTCGTCGTGGATCGTCACCCCTTCTGATGGCACTGCTGTGCTCTTATGTGCGGCTCTGGAGGGATCGCTTGTACACACATACACGTGGTAGATGTGTTGTTTGCGTCTTGCTTTTTTCCGCCATCCACTTCCATCCACACCGCACACACCGGAACAACGCAAAATCAGGAAACAAGAGCGACCGCGAGGATAAGGTGGTGGACAGCGCGGCGGCGAAGGAGTACGCGGAGTCGTTGGGCATCCCCTTCTTGGAGACGAGCGCCAAGAACGCCTCCAACGTTGAGGAGGCCTTCCTCACCATGGCCTCCGAGCTTATCCGCACCAGGTTTGTCTAGACAGCGTACGTACCGTCAGACGTGGTTGTGTATTTGTGCATTGGCCGCAGAGGGTTTTTCGCGCCAGGTCTATTTTAAACAGCGCGTATGTCATTGGACGAAGGATGTGTTGGCCTCCGAGCTTTTCCGCAGCAGTTTTTTCTTAAACGACGTATCCGCCATTTGGATAAAAAGGGTGTGTTAGCCTCCGAGCTTATCCGCACCAGATTCGTTTTGAACAGTCTGCCGATAGACGAAGAATGTATTAGGCCTGGGAGGTCATCCGTACCAGGTGCAAGTGCAAAAATTTTCGTCCGCCGTATGCGTGCGTCTTGATTGGGACCGTAAAGCCACAGCAGTAGCACACGTTTGCCCTCTTTGTGGTTTGAGTGTGTAGCTGGTTATACTATTCAACTTACCCAAACAAGGTTACGGAAAAAAATGGTCCCGAAGGGTCCGCAAGTCAATAGAAATGAAGGACAGATAGTCGAGGACACTCCGCTCGTCTCTACACGCTATGCGAGGTGACATATATGTTGTGTGTACTTGGTTTGGGGTGCTGTTTGGTTTTGATTTTGGATTTTTTTTTTTCAAGTATCGGGGACGCAAATATACGCACCCACGACGGGGGGGAATTATTTGTTGGGTGTGTTTTGTTCTGGGTGTAGTTTTTAATTTTCAGTTTTGGGGACGCATTTTGTGCCGCCTTGATGGCGATGTCCCCGTCACACATAACAGTACAGGCAGTGTGTACTACAAGGACAAGGGATGTGTTGTATCTTGTCTCGAAGGGAACAACGGAAAGCGTGTCTGAAAAGAGCACGGAGATAGCATGTTACCGTAAGTGACACAAGATAGCACACTCACAGAAGATAGCACACCCCCAACACACCTCTCCAGGAAAGCACGCCCAGTAATTTTTTTTTGGGCTCGGAAAGGAACGCCAATTTATCACACCGGTGACACAAGATAGCACACCGCCTACAGTTACGCCGTATTTCCAATCACGGAGCCCCCCGCATTATCACACGTGGTGGCTGGCAAATAATATGACTTGAATAAATCACCTAGTTTCCTACATGAGAGTCACATTCTTTGGTGGCTGGTGGCTGATGGCACGGATGCGCACAGCCCGGCGTAAACACACGAACTGTTATGCACACAAACAAGGACAATACGAAGGTGGAGGAGGTAGACAATCCTCCTGACACAACCCTGCTGGAAGGACGTCGCTCAGACGGTGCCATCAATGCCTGCGCCGGCGTCTCCACGTGCGCGATCACATCATTTTTGTCGAAGCAACCCGCCGCCGCATGTGCTGCCAAACCCCGCTCAACTACATGTACGTTCGCCGAGGCCCGCACAACATCGTCGGTTGAGGACCGCCCAACAGTCTGTCTGCTGAGTGATATCACCCCCCCCGTCATTTTTCACACCCCTTCAAGGAATAGTGGAGTAGGTAAATATGTTATCACACCCCCTTGGCTTATCACATCCCCTGATTGCGGGCTCCGTCAACGTGCACTTTTATCACACCGGTGACACAAGATAGCACACCCGTTCCAGGAAAGCACACCCGGTTATAAGTTTCTTAAACTCCAAAACCTCATCACCGGGGTGTGCTTTTGTGTCACTTGCGGTACTTGCGTATTGCGACGCCCAGGACACGCACACCGAAGAGAGAGGCGTTCTTGGTGATAGCTTTGGAGCACCTCGACCGTGAACCAGGCCGACATTATCCTGTAAATCACTAGTGTTTTGTTTATCCCCCGATACGTACGTTTAAGGAACGCCGTCGTTGTGACCCTTACGATCGTCTGATGCTCCTTTTCTCCGACCGTCGGTCTCTTCGTCACGCTTGTCGTCCTCTTTCTTTTTTTTTGTTCTTGTTCAGGGAAGCACGAGCCGCAACGCAGGTGGACAATTCCACCGTGAACCTGGGCGGAGGCGGTAGCAGCGCATCCTCTAGCTCCAAATGCTGCTGATGATGAACCACGACGACCATGTTACCCGCCGCGCGTCGACATTTGTTTTTGCGTCACCGGCGTCCTCGAAGGGGCTGCGGAAGACGGTAGCAGTACCCGTTGGCGTCGGGGGGCGTGTAATATTTTTTGATTCGTCCACCCTACAGTAGGGGCAGCGCACGCGTCGAAATCCAACACCACGTGGTGGGTGAACCGGCAGCGGTGTTGTGACCCTCCTCGTTTCCCGTCTGTCTGCCGGCTCTTGGCCGCTTGGCGTACCGATGGCGCCGGCGTTGATGCTAGCTTTTACTGTCTCTTCGTGCTCCCTTCGCTCTGAAGCGCTACCTATTCCTGTTTTATCACTTCCTCTTCTCGGCGTGGTGTGGGTCTGGTTGGGTGTTGGTGCCGGCAAGCATTCTGGGGGCGGGCGGGTGGGCGGGGGGGAGGCACGGAGCCCCAAAAGCGGTGGATGGTCAGATTGTTATGTAGATGTTTTGCAGCGGGCATCCACTGCAGCCAGCCAACCTGGCGGCCGACCGACATTGTCTTGGTCGGTGAGGCTGGGGATGGGGGGGGATAAACTATAATACCTGGGTGTTTTGAAAATGGCGGGTAGGGAGGAGCAGGGAGAGGATGGTTTCTGATGCTGCTGTTGCTCTCAGTGTACGGAAAGACGGGAGCATCGGCATCAGCATGTTGAAATATAGTTGTTCTGGAGTATTTATTCTTGCGCCAGACACGGACGGGGGAGGGGGTGTTGAGACTGATTAACCGAGAGCCGACGGCGCGAGAGAGAATCAGGCAGCGGCCACATCCAGGACAGGGGAGAAGGAGCAAGAGAACCAAGGCCATTAAGTACCGTAGTAGTAGCGGCAGGGGGTGACGACGGTGTAAAGGCCTTGAGCAGCAGCAGCAGCAGCAGCAGCAGCAGCAGCCTTCCGGCTTCATCTAGCGCGCATGTACTGTTTTGTTTTTTGGGGCGGCTTGTTTGGGGGCGCTGACTGCCGTGCTTCCGCAGCCAACAAGGGGGTGCATGGTGCATGGCGGCCTGCCGCTTGCTTGAAGGCTCATTAGCATCAGTCAGGTAGATACGAGTCTTTTTTTTTTGTCGATTTGACGGCATGTGGGCCGAAGAGGAGCGGTACAAGTTGGCCCTATCCGACGGACGGGTATATGTTCGTCCGTGATCCAATGCGATCTCTCATTCCGCATTCATCAATTCGTACCCACCTCGCCGTTGGATATTTATGCACGTACCACGTGCTTGGCCACGTTGACCAGAGGACAGACGTTGAGAGCATGTATGGGCGTTGTCGCTGCCTTAAACAACATGTTAACAACAAGAGAACAAGGGTGGCCCGATACGACGGGTACTTGATCATCCGTGATCCAAGGCGATTCTGAAAGCCCCTTTAGAGGTTTCAGTTTCTGTTGCCGAAGTTCTCAAGACCTCGATTTTGACCCCAGGTGTTTTTTTCACGTATGGACACGTAGGGTGGGCCGCCATCATACCGAGGGACTGCGGACACGTTGAACCCACATCATTTACATTTTACTACAAGTTAGATGTACAAGTTATACATTTCTTTCACTGCGGAACACGCTAGGACCCCAGTCGACGAAGAAGCCGGCGGTGTCGCGTGCTTTGAATGCCGGACCACCGTACCAACTCCGGAGGTTTGGCACCGGGCAAAGCGCCGTGCGCTGCGCCACGTGCCACGCTTTAGTGCGCCGAAATAAGCTCAAGCACGCTCGACGTGCCCTCGTCGAAAAGTACGTGGAGGACCTCGTGAGTAGGTCCGGTTTCAAGTTCGGTTCCCCTTCTAAGAAGGCCAACGGGAAGAAGGGAAGAAGTCTTCCACTACGGGCCCGCAGTTGAGAAAAATTATGTTGAGAAAAATAGGCTCAAATTCGCCCACAACATAAGAAACGTTCCAATAAGAAGCATGATGGTGCGATACCCCCAAGACATAAAGAAACAAGGGGTGGCTGGAAGAACGTGCCCAATAAGAAACGTCCCTCTGCTGCTCCTTCCGTGTTCCCACCCCCGTACCTAGCTGAACAGTGCATTATTATTGGTAGGGAGGAGAGAGAGTGGTTATTTCGCCACACCAATGGCCACACCTACCTGTAGAACGAAATATGGCGGCAATGCAACACGGTTAGGCGGTAGGTTACTTTTTGTCTGTTCTCGGCGGTGGTGGCTAAACGGAGGCGGTACAACCTATGGTGCCAAGTTTTCAAGGGTTCTGTCGGTAAACGTTGCTTAGGCAGACACAGACGTGGAGGTATGGCCTATCTATATACGGCGTTAATTTGTAGTACAAGTAGTAGTTTAAGGGTGGTTTGGAGGACAAGTAAATAAAGGCCGCGAGCATTCTATCCATAGCGTCCGCGTTGAAAATACAGCTGCTCGCGCTCTGCATTTCCCCGTGTATGTGAGACTTCTGGAATACATACATACGCGCATGTATCTACATTCAACAGCAGCAGCAGTCATATAACACGATGTTGATATTGAGTTACGACTGGGGACCGCCAAATCCCCTTCGCGATAAAACTGCAAGCACCCCGCAGTGGGAAAGGTGGGGTAAACAACACAAAGAAAGCCTTTTGGCCCCGGCGAAACCGCCTTCCGTCAATACAATTACCGCCATATCGAATATATTTCCGCCGAAACATTACCCGTACAAATAGATACCAGGTACTACTGGGTTAAACCGCCGCCAAAGCCCCTGCTGCCCAAAAATGATAAGCCACCCGAGTTTTCTGCCAACACAAATAAATTACCGGCGGCGTAGACTATGTATGGCATCGCCGCCAAAAAATTATGTCCAATTTTTTGTTTCTACCTCCTCTGCCGAAGTCGCCACCGCCAAAAAGCCTGGAACCGCCTACGGGCGAAACATGTACCACCACCTCTTTCTGTGTCCGCCTGAAAATGGTGACGGAACCCTTGAAAACTTGCCACCATAGTTAGCGTCTCCGTTAAAAGCCATTAAATTTACCGCCCAAACACAAAATAACCTGTCGCTAGACCGTATTAATTATAGCGTTACCGCCATTTTTTCAATATATTGCCCCCGCCAAACAAAGTCATTACATACTGCCGAAAACGTAAAGCCACTCAACATTTCCCTCCAAAACAATTCCCGCCGCATGGCACTACTGTACCGTAGAAAACATCATCTTCGTTTATTTTGTTTACCCGCCTCCGCCGCCAAAGTCGTTATATTTAACGCCGAGAAAATGGGGAACCAACGTACCGCTGAAAAAGTTACCGCCGCGGCACAATAGCTACTAGGTTTCCGATCAGACCGGATGGCTCCAAGATTTGGAACAAATGATGGACCCACAGTAAAAAAATATTAAAATAGGAATTAATTGCAAAAAACTTCGTAGTTCTCATCGAATGAATAGGGATTTGTGTGAGCAAAGAGATCACTCCCTTCTTTCGCTCCGAAAACTAGTGAGCTGTCGCGTTGATCGCTGAATTATTGAGAGTTTGCCTAACACTCGGTCGTCGCAGCAGCAGCAGTCTTCGGGCGGCGCTTCCTCCACCGCTCCCGCAGCGGCGCCTACTGCCACAGCGGCGCCATCTCCCGCGGCGGCGCTTGCTCCCGCCGCGGCTCCTGCGCCGCCCGCGAGCCAACTTCCACCGCCCCAACCGAACCGAAGTACGGCAGTGTTTGTGGACGCGGGCACTCCGATCGACGCCCTACCCTGGATTTGTGTGTGCAAAGAGATCACTCCCTTCTTTCGCTCCGAAAACTAGTGAGCAGCTTTGATCACAAAATTATTGAGACCATCCCCCCACCCGGCTAGGGCTTAAAGGGTATCTTTGACATAGTACGTTTGAGTTCATACCGAGATCGGTTACTGGTACGAAGACCGCGCTGGGGAGGGACACCTTAAGGGTTCCCTTCCAGCGCGGGGTGACATAGCAGGCGAGGACTCCTGCCCGGCGCAGGAGGCCTCATCCAATCCAACTTACATTAAATGATCCTCGGTTTGGAGTCAGAATTATTCTAATAATAGTACAGTACAAATCGCCGTCTTCTTATGGTTTGACCACTTCCGCCGATATTGTTGCAAAGAACTTGAAACCGCCCACCGTCGAAACGTGAACGCCAAATAGCATTATTACCGCCCCGACTGTGTCCGCCTACACATGGTTACCTTTGAAATAAGTTCCGCCATAGTATCGTTGCCGCCTCCGTTAAAGTCATTACCGTCGACGCACGCACAACCAACCCAACCGTTCAATAAATTATCGCCATAATAGGCATTTTCGCTGAAACCTACCGCCATACTTGCGTTTTACCGCCTTCGCAACATCGTCATCGCCAATAAATGCGACCGGCTACAGCCTCAACAAATACAGCCGTATGACATTGACACCTCTGCCTGTGTCGTCCTAAAGCCGTCACCGAGTACATACATGGAAGAAACTGATTTCACCTCGACATATGACCTATCTATTTAGTTGCCCCTCAAGCGAGCCGCATGAAAGCCACATGATAATCTCATTACAAACCGGAATATGCAATAACGTCATGTCAAATAGTAGGTCAACATGGTGTTTAAATTCTGATCACCTTTTCAATGGGGGGTACTCTATTTAGTGCACCACATCCGATCGTTACGAAATTGATTGGCATACAGTATTCAAATATGATACATTCTAGAGGAAGACATCACATGCCCGATGATCGGGCCGCACAAACCGTAGTTAGTCACTGCAACTCCGTCACTGGTCAGCACGGGCGCCAAGTTAACTACAGTGGGGGCCCCGGTTTAGCGACCCCTGGTGTCACGACGAAATTATAAATATGGTCGCTATTCAGGGCATGTCGCTAAACCGGGAGCCTCAATAGCGACTAGCGGTCGCTAAACCGGGAAAAAGCGCTATTTCGTGGGACTAAGGGCCGTGTTGCAGAAATCTTGTTGACCGGGTCATGTGTGCGTCGTATTGCAGTAGTCACATGAAGGTAAGAGGAAAGAACAAACAACTTTTGGGTGGACAACCGGGGAGTACCGTAATTGTGCGCCCCGTGTTAAGCGTTGTTCTACAGCGTATTTCTCCACAATTAGGAGGGTGCGAACACCAACTGATACCTCTCCGGAAAGCCCTCGACGAGATGTTTCGAAAAACACCCTTTTCATAGGTAACACCTCCCTGGTTGTGGAAAAATACGCTATTGAAAAACGCTCACACGGGGGTGCGATAACACGCACAATTACGGTAGTTCCCGTACGGTTTGCGTTCAATCAACCAGCAAGGTTGTTGTACCGTCGAAGTTTGTAGGAAATGTCTCAACAACTAACATACAGAGGGTGCCTTGTGTCTTCCCCGCATGCTGAACAATCTGTCGCCACATGTACAAAGACCAACACAAAATAAACACGTGAAAGTAAGTCCGTTCTGCGAATCATGAAAAAAAAAAGGTGGGAAAGGAGAAAAATTTATGGCAACGTCTCCCCCCCTAAAAAAACCCGCCAAAGTTCGTGAACGAACGCCCAAGCGGCAAAGAACCTCGCGCTGCTAGTGACTTCATTCTGCTACTGTCGCGTGTACCGATCATGTTAAACTAAACATTTCTCATGTGTCCGTCTGTAGCGCTGGTTTCGCGGAGTGTGCTTCGGTGAGCAACACCTTTGTCTTGCGAAGATAGTACGATACCTCGCTTAATCCACACGACTCCGCGCACTCTTCTGGCGATCCAAAATGCGATGAAAGCTCCGACTAGGGCGGCGGTGCCATCACTTCCCCACCCCCGCACCGCCATCTCTCCATCTACCTCTATCTCTCTTTGCGTTTGGGTGGATTCGAGACGGGTGGGGAAGCCTGCATGTTCTTGGACATACACTCGTGGCAGATGCGGTGTATCGATCGATGCTCCACCTCCTCACACATTCGGTTCAAGCGCCCACCGCAGGCACCATGGCAAACATGCCCCTTGGGCGCCCGCAGTTCAACATCCGGCTGTTTGCACAACTCTCCAATCGGCGCACGGCATGTTGCGTGTGTGTACGTGTCCCGCGATGTTGTGTCTTTGTGTGTGGAGGAACGCGGGGACTCCGTAAAATTTGAGCCGATGGTCGCTATTGCCTGATGAAAACAGCCCAATAAGTCGCTACACCGGGGTGCAGCGGTGTCACGAGATTTGGGGGTCGCTAATCAGGGCGTGTCGCTAAACAGGGGGTCGCTAAACCGGGGCCCCCACTGGTGCATCCAGGCCAGAGAAACCAAACACACACAAAATTTGTGTCATAACGCAATAGAATATGTCCTGGGGCCGTTCCCATGTGCCGGCACACAGAAAAAACTCTTGGAATCTGGGCGTGTGGGAGATCATGTTGATGCCGACCTTTCCTCCACCGACGTGCCGTCTCGCGCTTCAGTTGTTGCTGTTGCTCTTGTCTGCCCCCCGGGTGACGATGCCGTTGGCGACACCCCTTCGGCGGTCGGCTCAAGAGGCACAAGCCCCACAGACGCCGTCGGAAGGCGCTCGTCTACCGAGATACGGCGAAGTGGCCCTTCAGAGGCGGACACTTCGGACGGGCTAGCCGCCATCTTCGACAAAGTGGTCCGCAGGCTGCCTCCACGGGACGATCCCTGGCCCGACGCGGTAGCAGCCGAAATCGGGAAAGGGCATTTGTGGCCGGTATTGCCCCCGGCCGTTGAGTGCAACGCTGAGGTCCAGGCGTCGTCCCAAAACGGGCGTTCCTCCCCGTCCTCGGTCTTGGCATCTCCGCCGGTCTTTCCCATCGACTCGTCAGTCTTTCTCATCTCCGGGCCAAGAACTTTGTTGATCGTGCTCTCGTCAACGACGTCTACACCGAGAAGCATGTCCTGTTTAGCGAAGCAAAACAACAGTCGCCAAGCACATTTTTCAGAAGGGGGCCCTCCTTGGTGCGAACACGCAGTGGACTCAATCAGGTCCGCCGGTTGGTGGGGGATCGAAGACGAATTCTCAGCATAAGCGTTTCTCTGTCCCTTCTGAAAGCTGATGAGTTTACAACTAAGATTCCACCAACGAAACACGTCGTGCTTGGACATGTACGCTGCCAAGGCACCACGGCGGTGGGCAGAACAAAAACGTAACGGGGGCACAAACATATGTTCCGTGTGTTTTTGACCGCACCGAAACTCAGGACACGAAAGGCACAGCAGCTGTGAACCAAATAGATCGCGCACTAACCTGCGCGTGACTCCTGCTGAACATCGCCTTCGTCGTGGCACAAGCGTTGAACCAGATGGACAAGAAAAACATTATGTTCACGATGACCAGTGCCACAGAGTACGCGGCGCTGCCACTTGAGTCCTTGTCTGCTGCACCCGACTTGATGACCAGCGCCAAGAAATTGGTGAACAGGATGACGAGGCACCCCTGATGTTAACGATATTGCGCCAGACCGGGAGAGGATAGGCGTGCAACAACGTGCATGTGGGGGCTGCACATGAAACTGGCCTTCGAGTTGTCCTTGTGCCAGGGGAGAGGGACGGGGGTCTGGGGTGGCGAAGGTGATAAGATTGTCATTGCCGGACCAAGACTTCATACGCATATGGACGGCCAAGATCATTTCCTTCGTCCTGGTCCTGCCCTGTAGTTTACAGTCGCTAGGCGCACCAGGGTGCTCGACGTTGCACGCCGTCAAACTCGTTGTCGACTCACCGTCCGGTAGAGCTGCCTGTCAAGATTGTTGACGTGAGGCCGTAGAAGCTCGAACACCATGAGGCTGTTGCGATGTGGGCAATGTCAACAATTGAGCGCGTTCGGGGGCAGAAAGGAAGTGAGGCGACCATAAAGACACCCTATCTCATTGTTTGGATTTGATGTATAGAACCACGTGGCTCGAACGACGTCGGAGGGAATTGAGCTACTTGGTCTACCGCTGTGTGCTCTCGACCCTGAAGTTTTTCATCGTTGTCTTGTTCGTCGTCAGACTATTCTAGACAAACAGCAATACTCGCTTCATAGCAGGCAGGTAATCGCGGTGGTCATGTCAGTATGTCGATGCTTGGTCGTTCGAAATTCCAATCCTTCGGGAATCTCGATTTGTGGGGCGTACCATCCCTAACGAGTGTCTGTATAAATGGCATCCAAACGTATACCAAAGTCACTTCCACCCACCCCTCCTCAATCAACCGGAACCGGACCCACTGAACACAAAGAAAACAGACACCGTGCAAGGTGCGCACGACATGGTCTCCATGCCTGCTTCAGACTGTACAAAGGCCCTTTCGTTCGGCCTTACTGTCATCCCGACGGCCTACCACATCCTCGCAGCAGGCGCATAAAAGGTGTCCTCATTTAAACCCGACTTTGTACGAATGCCTCGGGGAGAGAGAAGGAGTACCAAATTTATCGAACACAATACCCATCGCGTAATTCTGGAAACCCATGCCTACCTGACGATGGCAAAGATGCAGCTGAAGGCGACTTGTCCCGGCGTATCCGGCACAAGAAACACCAAGATTCCAGTCAGCAGCAAACGCCTGATGCACTCGAAAACCTGCTCGCAAGTTTCGCGGGCACCGGGAAAAGACAACGCGCGAGAAATATAGCGCTACACCCGACCATTGGTAATGGGGATTCATCTTCAAGGCCATCGTGCCCTGTTCTACAGCCGAGGTGCCACCGGAGTGGAATACCGTGACGCAGATAAACCGGCAATTTCAAACGAATTCTACAACCAGAAAGCAACACAACATTCCGTGGACATTTGTCGAGGAAGAGAATATACAAGCGGAGGACATAGACCCACGACGCCCTTATCTGGCCGAAAACAAGACGGAGAAGACAAGACCGTCGCACCCCACTGCCCTCACGAGCGTACAGGTGCACCGGCAAGGAATCCAGTGTTTTAGTGATCCCATTTGGCCAAGTAAAGCAGGACACATCTGTTTCGGCGCTGGTGTGAGACTTGAATACACTTTGTAGTTGGCGATGTCATATATTCACCTCGTAGTAGTAGCACGTAGGAAAATAAGCACTCCAGAGGAAGGACGTCGGGGCGATGCTCTGATCTTGGTCGCGAACGGTCATCTTTTGTTCCTGCCAAACAAGAGGGTTTGACGAAGCAAGCAAAAGACGACAGCTGTGCATCAGCAGCCAGATCAGAAGCTCAAAGAAAACTACTTCCTTGTTAGACACACAATTCACAGACAGCGCCCGCTGCTTCGGCAGCGAACAGCACAAGGGGTGAGAGAAAGCGCAGAGGTTTCACGGGTAGGCACGCTGCCGAACGGCTTACACCTTGACCTCGACCGCGCGAAAATATCACAAACGTCGGCTGTCCCGGACAATACCGTTGTAGAAAACCACATATCTTCTTACCGCCACATGACGTCCACCTCGGCGTTTCTTCAGAGCTTCGTCGGTCGGAGGATTGATGCGAGAACGTTGGCGCACCAGGAAGTAGAAGAAAATCGCCGGAATGCCGAGGGGATCTGCGCGTGTTCCATCACATGTCATTGAGCACACACGCAACGCACACGCACAAATAACGTTACTTCTACTTGTATCTAACAAGCCGAAAAAGGAAGCCCAACCCCGGGACCACCGTGGTCAGGTGACGGGGTGAATTTGGTTCGGCTACGCGGCAAACAGGCGTCCAACCAACCGCTCACAGATCATCGACAACGAGATCTCAGCAAAGTAGAGCTGCTGGCGTCTGGGGCAACACAAACTACGTTCGGGTGCTATCGTGTAAGCACTCCTTTCAAGCCCACTCAAGAGCCACACGCATTGTGTCAGGATCAATAGTTTCACATACAGTTACGATCTAGACCATCCATTTTCGAGCAAGTTGCAGACAGCCTGGTGTGCTACCACCGACATAATCCGAGTTGACGGTCCATACCGTCGTGAGACGCTACTTCGTGGACGCAAGTGTCGTATCGCGGACTGCTACACCATGTATGCTCACATATACATATCATCACGCCGGCATAGGCCTTGTACAGCGTGTGACGTTGTGTGTCGCACTCTATTCGGAAGTCTGCCCTCAAGTAGCTCTTGCCGATCTCGGGCAAATCTTCGCACGAGAAAGTCTGGAAGACCTGCGAGACGAAGGAGAATCGATGAAGAAAGTACTTTTGCAGGAGGCACGTACACTACTCTTGCAGTAGACCTCAGCAACGGACGGCGGGAGTGCACCGCGAGCAAGGCAGGTGTACGGTGGGGCAAGCACTTGTGCCGCTGCCTGGTAGACACTTCCCGTGCAAGGGATAAGTTAGGCTGCCGCCAGACAGACGCAAAGGGGCACCAAACTCCGGTCCTTTGTGCCAGGCTTAATCTACCTCGTCCTTGACAACGGTGCTCGTGAATATTATCCACTTGCGGCCAAACATTTTGTGTGTCGGGAAAGGGCTACTACGCACCACGGTCGAAATCTGGGTGTAGACGAGGTAGAGCACGATGAGCATTATCGTGGTGTGGCGGGCGAACAGTCCCCAAAGACGTTCCTGGACCAAAGAAGAGAGGAAGACGGACGCCAACACAAAAATTCGAACATCGAAAGATGGTGGATGGTCAAAGAAAGAACGAGTGACGAACATAGAGACGAGAACGGGGGGTGGATAATCCCAAGGAGCTGGAACCACGAGCGTGCGAAAGCGGCAGGGAGGAAGGCAAGACAGCGCTACTTCGACATGGTTTGCTGGCGAACGTCGTACGAGCACGGTTGTCCCAACCTGCTCGGGATTCTTCTGTTGCCCAGACTTAGCCCTCAAGAGGTTACGAACAGATTGCGCCCGAGCTGTTGCTCCACCAATCGCCATCACGCTCGCCATCGATCTCGAAGAGGCGCCTTGCACCCTTCCCTCCTCCACCTCCCCCACCCTGCTTCCCGAAGTAGCACCACCACCAGCGGTAGTGTTAGGACTCATGTTTGTTTTCTTCGCCGGCCGCGACCCCACGAAGAAGGTAATCCCCAAGAAGCAGAGGGGCAACAGCGGCCCGATCGTCACCATCCTGTTCATCGGCCACGAAACGAACGAAACAGACAAAACAAACAAACAGCAGCTAACAACAAACGCCTTCTGGGCTGCTGGTGCGTGGACACAGTGGGACCGATCGCACGGTAAGAAAAAACAAAACGTCACGACCCTTTTTCTCACCAACCCCCAAACGGCCAAAGTAGTACCTTTCTACAATAGCCGACTTCTCTGAAGTGGAAAACTACGACAGACAAAAATACGTGGGGAAACTTGTGGACCTGGTCGAAAGCTAACGAGAAGATCCCAAAACAGCGGAAGCGGGCATGCTCGGGAAAATGTTTCGGGGGCTCCGAGAGGAAGAGAAAGTAAGGGGGTCACCACAATCTATGGGAAGCGCGACACAACACAAGAATCGACACTCGACAGGGTCACGGCGAGTGAATTCAATCCTCACCTCAACAGCTTGCAGACTCGTACCGAAGCTTGCTCAAAGGCCATCAACAGACATGGCGCTCGGCCCAACAACTCAACCAGTTCGCATCTCAAAAGCGAAATACACACACGTTCCTCTTGGATTATCTTCCACTCAAGGCTTAAAAAAACAAAAAATCATTTCATTTCCTTCGTCAACCACGAAGCAGGCTTGGATCGTTTCGACACACGTGCATGCACACTCACAGAAGCTTGTCGTAGAAGTCAATGCCCGTGGTCAGACACGCCGCCGACAGAATCCAACCCAGGTCGAAGGAAAAGATGCCGATGATAGACAGAAACTTTTCGTATATCGGTGGGAACGGCGCCTTGGTGATGTCTGCGAACTGCCAGTTCGTTTCATAAAACGAAAACGGTGTGAAGAACGACACTCAGGCTTTTGATAAGTCAAGAGGGATGGAGGGAAGGAGGGAACCCACAATGTGGCAGGTGCTACCCTGCCCCCTTAACGTTGACCGACACTTGGAGGGGGGGCAGTACGACAACAACCGATGGGCCGTCAACCATGGCAGCAACGAGAACCTACAGTACAAAATACTCAGCACGCAAACACCCCCTAGAAACAACACGGTTCCTCCAACGTTTGTGCGTGCAACATATATTGCCGTACGCCCTAACGACAACACCCCGTCAGGTTGCTCACCGCGCTGGTTATTTGCCACACCACTGCCCTCGAGCAGGCAAGCCAGGTAAGTAGACCCAGACAAAAAGAAGATACAAGGAAAAAGAGCAAAGGAAACCAAAAGAAGGCATGTTCAGAGAGGGCTGATGCCGGAAGTGTTTTCAAACGCCGCGAGGACTCCTTCCAAATAGACGCAGAACAAGGTTTTATGTGCCGAGAGATCTACGTTGTGTTTTGTGGGTGTCGCGGTCGACCTTCAAAGGGCACTGCCGATGACAGCGGCCTGGTATCCACCTGATGCTATCAAGAAACCTACGGCACACAGCGTAAAGGGGGGGTTCCGGAAACGTATTCGACGGGTACGTCCACCCCCAGATTTGCGTGTCTCTGCGGCGCAATCTCAATGGAGATACACGAGCGAAACCCGTTTCTCAGGAACCAAACGCTTTCAGCGGGCCTTACTCCTTCCCTCTAACCCCCACCTCCTCACCTATGACGATCTTCAGCTTGGACAGCGGGAGCGCCGTCAACAGGTTCGCGACTCTCCTCGGGGATGCGTCGTCGTCCTTGTCGTTTCCAGCCCGGCTGTTGCCCTGGCCGCGGCTCTGGCCAGCCGAGACTTCCGGCGGAGCGGCCTTGTGCTCTGTGCCCGGCGAGTTAGTTGAAACGGCGGAGCCCCCGATCGGCGGGCCGTCGCTCAGGCCGCCGAAGTCTGGTCGGGCATTGTCAACCGAGCGTGTGAGGAGGACGGATCCGCGATGCTGGATCCTGAGGGCGGACTCCTTGGTGTTCACCACGGTGGAAGACACGGCGCTCTTGCCTCCCACCTGGGGTGCGGGTTTGGGGTCGTGAAAACAAGTGGGGCAAAGAGGAGTTGCTGGCCCTGGGCTCATCCTATTTTTCGAGGGGTTTTGAGACGACCTCTGTCGACGTCGTTCTCCCTCCGTCCAGCTGCGCCTAGCCTCCAACAAAAGCTCGTTATTCTCCGATTGGCCGGACAAGATGTTCGCGAGAAATTCCCATGTACCGATGTCTGCCCACTGCTGTTGGTTCACCAACACCTACCAGGTATATCGCCAGAAGAACGACCACCACGACCATAGCCAGCAGTACCACGGCTAGCAGGAAATACATGCCTCCCTTGAAGCCTGCCGTGCAAGAGTGACACTCGTCCGCCATACCCTTTCCGAAGCCTGTCTCGCACACAGCACACTCTGCAGGAGGAAGAGGGATGCCGAGAGAGCACGGCCGAACATCATGCGCGGAGGCTCTCGGGAAGGGAAATGTACATGAAATCACCACGTGTCCTACACGACATGGGAGAAGAAGAACGAAGATCACCATCCCAACGCAATCGTAGGCTGCTTAGGACTCATTCCCGTACGGCGAAACACTCTTCATCTTCAACACCGTCATTTTTCGGAACGAGGTTGTGCTCTTTCAGCACGTTGTAGGATCACGGAGCTCGAACGACAAATCACGCCACAGACATTTGGATCGGTTGGCTGGTGCTGCGGTGAGAAAGTAAGCCGCAAGGGTAACACAGCGGGGGAAACATACACGCCCGACTAGCTGGTGACGTTACGCCATCCATCTATCCACTCACGAGGTCCTACGTAGCCCTCGTTGCAGTATTCCTGCACTTCTGCGACGGTCGTCCCTCCCTTGCAAGCCCCCTATAGGGGAATCGGAGACACCGAAGAGCATAGGCAGGCGTTGTTGAGGGGGGGGGGCAAGGGCACGCGTTGATGAGAAAATGGGAGCAACTATCAATGCGACGCGTGTTTCCACCGCAGGAAGACCTCTTGGGAAAGGTTGAGCGGGAGGGAGGGGGAGGAACACCGTAATGCAAAAAAGAAATATCACGGCCACGAAGCCGAACCGAGGATCACCGTGGATGCTGAGGGAATAATTGTTTGTCCTCAACCTAGGATCATTTGATGGCGATGGCCCTTTCACAGCGCGCTCTGGTCACCCTTAGAAGCGTCATTTCCAGACGACACATGTCTTAAATGCTATTCGGCCTGTATTTTACCGCCGCCGACCACCGCACCCACCTCGTTGAAGCACTCGCGAATCGTGAGGGAAGTGACGTTAGCCCGCCAGTAGCCTGCCTTGATCGGAAGCTCCGTCGTTGTAGCGCCGGCGGATGCGCAGTCCACCCCCTTTGCGACGATGACGTGTCAGCAGGACGAAGGGAAACGTGTGGGGGGGGGCGGAGGGCGGGAGTAAGGAAGCTGTAAACCTCGCTTGTGGCATTGTTGCGGCTCTTCCTCACCATTGGAGGAGACAAAAAGTGTCGAACGTTGAAAGGAGATGATGGCCGCGGAGGCGCACAGTCGGTAATATAGTCGAGGTGTCATGTAGTAGGGGTAGTAGCCGTGGCAGGGGAGCAGTACACTCGAAGGAGTTCACGTCAACATCGGGAACGCACCTCTATCGCAAAAAAACAAAAGGCACCCAAGGGGGCGGAGCGAAGGAGCGTGGTTGTCCAGCGGAAAAGAGTGGTGCGTGGTTTCATTGCGAAACACTGCCGTTCCATACGTTTGGCAGGTAGAGCACCGAAACTGGATGGAACGTGATGCATGGGGTTAGTGTTGGGAGGGGATTGGCTCGTACGGTGGAATAGAATATACGAGCCAACCTGTGACCGGCCGAAGATAGACCGACAAGCAGGAGCGGGATACAATGTCGCAGCTCTCCCTGGCGGAGGCAACCGTTTCGGGTTGAAGGTGTGGCTACAGAAGAGGACGTGGAACCCAGTCAGTCAAAACTGAAAGCTGTAAGAAACTACGGCGAATATTGAAGACGGCGCCAGAAAAAGAGTCACGCGTACGTAAGTGATTCGCTTTATGTTTCATTTTACCGCTGCTGTGTGTTCCGTCTCAAAGAGAAGAAAAAAACAGAGCACGCCAAACAATCCCAAGTAGCGCCAGGTCATCTCAAGATAAACGGCATGCACGAACCCCGCACCTCAATAGCGCCATCGATGGACTCGGTGCAGAGCGTGCACGCGACGGTGGGGTCGAGATCTGCCCCCGAGACGCTTGAGTTCCAGAAGTTACCCTCATCGCAGAAGTAGTACTCCACGCCGACCGTGACGTCACCGCCTTCACTCTGAGGCTCTGTGTTGCTCGCCAGGATGGACGCCGTTGTGGACAGGGCAGTGATGTCGTTCGCTCGGACGGTGATGTTGGCGAGGCCATTAAATGCGTCGTTCGGCTGACTCACAAGGCGCAAGCGAACGCTGCAGAACAACGGAACCACGAACGACGGAAACACGGCCATCACATGCATGGACAACCTCAAATTGTTTCGATTGCACAATCCCTAGCGCCTGCCCTTCCGCTTCAATCGATATCTCGGGTGAAACAAAAAAACAACCGTACGGATATACCCTATATCTGACACCCGTCCCATCACCTCGACGGGGACAACGCGTGGTTTCGTCTTCACTCCACTGACTTGTGCTCACATACCGGTGGTACACGCTCGCGACCGATTGGCCCATCGGTAGTGTCATACCCTCACCTCTCCCCTGGGAGCAGCAAGCCTGTCGATGGGAAAACCGTCCAGTCGTCCTGCTCCTCCTCTGAGGACGGCCACAGCCCCGACACGCTCCACGCCACCCGGCTAGCGCCGACACAGCTCCTGCTGCTGGTGGCGATGTCGTCGTCGTCTGCGTTGGTTGCGTTGGAAGGCGCAAACGACAGTTGCAGCTCTCTTTCGAGCAAGCTCGGGTAGAAGGTTGGTTGGGATTCGGTGTCTTCGATCAGGGTCAGGGTCAGCGCGTCCACGTCTCCGCTGGCGCACACCTTTCGTTTTGTATTGCCGTGGCGGAAGCGGGGAGGGGCAGCAACGTCGGGCACAAGGCAACAGAGGCGAAGTTGTTGAGATGGGAGACATGTCGTAGGACCCAGTTGTGTAGGAAGGCGGCAGTAACATCTACTCAGTGTGCTTCGAGCGCGGTGCCGGTGACTATGTATTTGGTTGGAACACAATCGGTCAGGGGTAGAAGCACTCTTGGGCCACTAACGACGATGACGAAGTGATTGACAATGTCGTGAGCAAACAAGAGAGGCTGGCCAACAAACACTCGCCTATTCCATCGCAACCAAAACCTATGGAGTGGATACCACTGCATAAAAAATGGCTACCTTGTGCCTTCGGGACTTCCAGAACAAGGGCATTGTGAGCGTTTTCGACCCGGGCGTGGACTCTTCTTTCGACGCCAAAGACCAGAACGTGCCAACCGTACCGCGAGGGGTGGCGGCCTAAACAGGCACAGTAGACGACAGAGAACGCGCCACCGCCTAAGAAAATGTCAGTTAGAAGTAGGAAAACTAGCCTTCGAGTTCACGGCATGGTACATGTAAATTAAGAGCATATTCCCTGTCGGTTTCCCCACTGATCGAATAAGCACCGAGAGCTGCGCAGGGTGAGAATTTCTGAAGGCTTGTTCCTCAGTAGTGGCGCGTTCTGACACGGAGGGTCATCAGCATCGTGGCACCACTGGAGTATTTCACAGCGTGGTAGAAAGCACGCCTTGCAGGGCGTGCTGCGCTCGCACCTCTTCCAAGGTGGATCTGAGCTGGTAGTGCTCGCAGTAGACGCCAAGGTCACCCTCAAGGCACCACGACCCTACACCGCAAGGTGACACGGCTGACGATGAGTTGCACGTCAGGTTCAGGTTGATGAAGCTGTCGGCGCTCGGCAGCTGCAACATTTCTGACGCATCCTCGGCGATGGTTTCGTCTGCCACACACGCGATCGCGACAGGTAAAAGCCCGCACAGGATACAAACGGCGGCAGCAGAAAGGGCCACGGGGCCCTCGTGAGAGACGACGAGGAGAGGAGCCGTAGTCTGACTATAGCCTCAGACATGGCGTCCCGGGCTCCAAGAGAACCCTCAACTTTCGCGGTGGGCACGTATCACAAAGGAGGAGTTTCCCGGGGGAAGCAAACAGCGGCGATAGCGCAAACCGGCATTCCACACGGCATGTCTTCCATATCTTCGACATGTGCGGAATACGATACAAACGCACGAGCCGGAACGGAAAACAAACGCGAACAGCGGAGCTCAATGCCGAATAGACTATCCCACGTGCCAAATGTCCTCTCCGCGTTAAACGTATGAACACGCAAAGCAAGCAAAACCGAGGTGGCAAACAAATGGGACCTTTCAGGCTCACAATTGTTTGCTCCTAGCACAGCGTTCCGGATCACCGTAGCGTCTTCCAGTTCCGCGTAGACCAGCACCGCACTCGAGCTGCCGCTGAAGTCGCACTCGTCAAGGTACAACTCCCCTTCACTGTAAACGACCACCTAGGGAACCAGACCAAAGCCACAAAACAAGGCAAAGCAAAACACATAAACACGTCCTGCTGCTGCACAATCAACGAGGTTCTGCGAAAATGGTTGCGCATTCAGGATTCCGAGTGGCTTGGGCAAGGAGCTCCTTAATCATGGCGGAATAGCAGACCCTCACTCTCGCGACCTGTTGACCATGGTGACGATCACCATTCGTACGGGTTCACAAAATCGGGCTACAAAGAGCTGCACGCCATTGTCAGCACATCTCTGACATGGCGCGTTCGAGAACCCATGGAACTGAACCATGTGCGGAGTGGCCCTCACTCACGTACGTACATACCTCGCCAGCGAAGCCCACGAAGCAGGTGTCTTGAGCTGTATACGTAGACAGTGCGTCGGTCTGCACAGCGGATAAGTCGGAGTTCTCCGACGTGTCGTTAACGACCACCTGCTCAAATCGCGTATGGGGACGGAATTCCTCAGCGAAGCACCACACACTCGTATGGAGCGAGGGATGTTGATCTTTCTGGACGACGCAACACATCGATAGACAGACAGGCGTTCTTTTTGTCGCTTCCTACTCTGGTTGGTACACGCGTACCTTGATCGTTTTCTCACCTGAGACGTGATGAACGTGCTGTTGACAAGGAAAATGGCGCTGCCGCGAGTGACGAAGTTGTCTGACACCTCGACGCCGCGAAGAGCCACGACCGCGTTGTCGCGGGCGTAGCTGCCAAAGCAACAGCAGAGGAAGAGAATTAGGGAGAGAACAAGGACGTGGAGGGCATCCGGCGCACACAGCTACTGCTGCAGCAGAGTATCGCACCTCACATCGCACGCCATATCTCCTCAAGTACCCACGAATTGGGAACGGCTAAACGAAGCGCCTATCCAACCTCTCTCTCAACGAGACAGAAGGGGATAGAGAATGGAACAAGCTATTGAAAAATGTGCGTGCACGTTACTGGGCGTATCCCCGGGCGTATTTCTCTTGAAAGCAAGACGACTCACGCCTTCCCTTGTTCTCACATGGCGGGACCGATCAGCGCGGAGTTCTCCCTTATGTGGCACGCCCACTCCAGATTCGCACCATCGATCGCGTAGATCGCGCCACCATCTATCCCCTCGTGCTGCAGAACTGTCGCTCCCGAGCAAGTGGCATTGCCCTCGCCCGCTTTGTACAGAAACCCTCCGAAGTCGGCCTTGTTTGAGATGAAGTTTCCTCCGGTTATCTGGCGGAAGTCGTTTGTTTCGGAACCAAACACCCGTCAGACGGTGTACCCGAAGAGTAACGGTTATATGAACTTTCAGCTGGAGGTAAAGTCTTAGGAGGCCTACCTTAGTTGATGCCTTGGTTGCAGTACGTTTGATTGCATGGCCAAAAGCAACAACATGAAAAAAGTCAGCGAGTTCGATGTCATGGCTAACCACTACAGCAGTGGCATCAGGCTCATGTTCCGCTAGCGTCAGTGACCCTACACACCCGCACCTCGATGTCTGCACCGCTCTCGGCGAAGAACGCGCCCCCTCCGTTGCTTGCGGAGTTTCCTTGCAACAGGCCCCCGTTGAACACCAACGAACCGTCTTCGACGACGTAAATCACGCCGCCGTTCTCGGCCACGTTGTTCTCGAACGTGCCTCCTTCGACCACCACCGTGCTGTTAAGGCTGCCCTGAATCACTCCGCCATTCTTAGCCGAATTGTTGGAAAAGTGCCCACCCAGGACGGAAATCTCGCCCCTCGTCCAAAGCACTCCCCCGCTCTGCTCGCCTTTTTGCCAGACTTCCTCTTCAGTCTGGCGCGATTTGTTTTTTGGGGTGAGGGCTCTTGAGTGAGATATTCGACGTGGCGCGAGCAGCACAACGATTGATCTTTGAGGTACAGCAGTCGAGGCACCGTCTTGTCCACCAACCCTAAAAAATGACGATCAAAATACAAACGAATCCTCACATTCGAACGTGTCAGGCCCTCCTTGAATTTTCGCCGAACGTCAAACGCGACAAACACACGTCGACAAGTCGAAACAAGATCGTCATACCAAGATCGAGCTCAAAGAACATGTCCTAGGAGACTGTTCATATTTCTCCATGTGCCCGCCCGTTTCACGCTTGAATATTACCCCGGATCAGAGCATTGAATATCAACACTAACCTGAGGTATTGTCGGGGCGGCCATGGCTGTTTTAGGCCGGACAACAACCGGCAGTATTGTTGTTGTTGTTGTTGTTGTTGTTGTTGTTGTTGTTGTTGTTGTCTTCACATCAAAAACCGTTCCGATCTCTCTCTACCCAGTACCTTCATATGTCCGTACTGATCCAACACTTGACGCGGTCGATTCCCGTGGTCACAGGCTAACGTACCCTAAAAAGGTACGCTCAAACAAACTGGCCCCGAGGGGTCCGCAAGTCAATATAAATCAACGACAGATATTCTGGAGTCCTCCGCTACCTCTGCGCGCTATGCGAGGTAACAACTGAGACTAGGAGGCAGCATCACGGGCCGGGAGAAAGAGGTACACCCCCTTGGTTCAATCTTGGTGCTTCACACGCAAGCAGAGACAAGGCCATCTGACACAGAAAAAGAGAGAAAAAAGAGGGAAAACGAGAAAAAAGAGAAAAAGAGAAAAAAATAAAAGGAACCAAGAAGAAAAGAGAAAAGAAAACGAAAAAGAAAACGAAAAAGAAAAAGAGCGAGGACAAAAAGAGACCAGGCCGAAAATAACAAGAAATAATAGACAGAATAAGGCACACGGTGGAGAGACCACTAACGAACGAACAAGCAAACACGCAAAAGCATCGCCACCAACCAGCGATACATGGTAATGGTACGTCATCACTAGTGGGGGGTTGGTGCAATGGTGCAGCGTTGGGGGGGGGGAATTGGCTAAAGGAAATTCAATCCGGCACGTATCACGCCACTCGGTCCGTCTCTTCTCGTTTACTTTCTTCCCTCGCCGACTCGTCCGTCTCCCACCCCCCTCCCGAAGCCGCGAAGGTGGGGGGGGGAGTACCCTTGCATGCGGCGGTGCTGCAGAGAGCTGAGAGGTTCATGACCTCCTGGCACAAGAAGGAAGAAGAGGCCAGCCGACAACGAGCGCTCAAACGAGACCACAAGCCAAAAACCAATGGGGCAGTATGCCGGGCACCGGGCACTATTCAGAGTACACGTACGAGACAACTTGAATGTTCCACTGTGCCAAGCGATTTCAACTGCCATAAAACAGGGCAATCGGCCCTAAGTAAACGGCCTTGAATGGGGATCTCTACTGTACCTCCATGTCCGCCTCGTTGCCGATGAAGGTTCCTCCCTCGACCGTAATGATGGAATTGTAGTCCGCCCCGATCGCGGCGCCGCCCAGGGCGCACCTGTTCCCGTAGAACACGTTCCCCTGCCCGACGATGGTGGTGTTGGTGAACTGGTTCATGGTCACCCCGCCGGCAGTGTTGAGCAGGGCCGTGTTGAACACGAAGCTGGAGTCTTGCACTATGAGGACGGCACCGGGGTCGTCGTCCCAGTCTTCCCCTCCCGACAGGTTAATCACCCCGCCCTGTTTTGAGATCGGATATATCAGCGGCGGTGTGCGGGGTTGGCCGGCAGGCGGGTGCGCGGGGAGAACGTAGTAAATAGCGTAGTGCGCACACTCCAAAGCTGGTCTGCGAGGACGTCTTGCCATTGCTCATGCTTAACAGCATTGGAAGACTTCATATCAGAGGATGACCACGATGTGACAGGATTTCTGAGTTTCTGGGTTCTAAATTGGACACGATCCAGCTTCAACGAGGTGGGAAGTGACAGAAAATGGCACGCATCCCGCAAGAGGGTAGGGAGCCTACCCCGCAGCCAGCTGCACAGACTGTAGCGTCTGCTGGTTTCGTCGAGCACAACCGTGATGGAAGTGGGAGCAACCCCACGCGCCAGCAGTACAATCGTCGAACCGTGTGTGGGCACGATAATGTAGACGAACAAACGTGTCCCGGTGCGACCCCAAGAGGACCCTCTCGGCTGCTTCGTGTACTCTCCACCATGGCCAGAACTCGCTGTGCAAAAGCTTGCCGGGAACCAGGCGGCAGCAGCCGTGCCGACACCGAAAGGCCGCTAAACGAGCAACACAAGGGAAACTTGCGTGAGGTGCAATGTATGCGGCATACCGCGCACAGCAGAAGCGCGATGCTTACAGCTACAGTAGTATATCGTTTCGTTTGAGAGTGTTCAGCGTAGTCTTCCAAGGACCAAGCCAAAAGCCGGATCCATACCTCTCGACTGCTGTAGAAGCAGACAACCTATCTCGAAACACTATGGTGCTACAGTCAACCTCGATACTAGACACTGAGCGGCATCGAAAAACATCCAGGCAAGCTTTCTGTGGCTCTACCCAATCGCAATACCGCAATGACGAAATAAACGAAAAAGTAAATAAAAGGAGGCGGTTTCACACGAGAGGAGCGGAGCCCACCTCCGCCGACATCTGGCGCCATATATCAAGGCTGACGCTTATCCCAGCAAACCTACCGCAAAACGTACAAACGCCGGAAATTTGTACCTTCTTTCCGGCCCAGTTCTTCTCGAGGAGACAGTCCGACAGGAGGAGCGCGCACCCCGCGCCCACCACAATCGCGCCCCCTTCACCCTGAGGGTCGTCCGACAGCGCCTTCCCGGCCGTGTTGTTCCTAACCACACACCCGTCAAGCTCCACCGTTGGGCGATCGTCATCATCCCCCGACGCGATCGCCAGCGCACCGCCCTTTTCCGCCACGGAATTGTCCAAGAAGACCGTGTCTCGAAACTCGCAGGGCGCCACCGCCGCTGCCGGCGTATCGGAGGAGTGCGTGCAAGCGGTCATCGCCACCGCCCCACCCTCTCCTATCGCATCCTCTGGAGAGAGCGGGGGAAACAGCGTTGGGGGGTTACGGGGGGATCGAGGTGGTGACTGGCCATTGAAGTGATCACTCGATATCTGTGCACCATGGTGGAAAAAGATTGCGAGACTCTTTCGGCTTTCCCTACCCACCGGGTTGCGAACGTGAACGAAAGATAGGCCCCCCGATCCAAGGGCGCGATGGTACGCGGCCGTGACGGGACACTTTGGCTGCATCGGCCCCATGATTGCGAAACAGCACCACCGTACGGGTGTCTTTCGTGAACCCGCGGTAAGGCTCGCGTCGGTTTCGGTCTCTCACCGGAATCTTGATTGTCGCTCCCGGCGGTGTTGTTGAAAAACAAGGAGCCCACCACCGACAGCTGTCCCGACTCCTGGAGAAGGCCACCCCCTTTCTTGGAGGCATAGCACGTGTCGAACAAGCAGCCTTCGACCAGTACAGTAGAGTCCTTGGCCTTAGGAACAACGCGGGCAAGACGACAGAGTCGCGGGAAGAGATTTGGCAGGAGGTAGTGTATACCCCACGAGCAATCAAAATTCCACCGGCCTGCATCCATCCACACTCCCGTGGTAGGCATGAAACAGGTTCCCTCTATTAAACACGGGCGTCGAACAAGAGATGCAAAAACGACTTTAGAGTTAATAGTTACCGGCAAGGCTCTCACCGCGATGCCGCCACCAGCCCCCTCAACCTCGTCTTCGTCCTGCCCGGCGAACGATACAAGCCCCGCGGCGTTTTCCCTGAACGTCGAGTTGACGACGGTAAGCATCGACAGGTTGGCCAGCACCCCGCCTCCCCGCACCGAGGCGAAGTTGTTCTCGAACAAGCAGCCCGTGATCGTCACATTCGACTGTACCGCGTGGACGCCACCTCCGCTGTCAACGGTCGCGTTGCTGTCACCGTTCGCGTTGCCATCGCGCACGGCCAAGGCGTTGAGGGAGAGCTGCCCACCGTTGACGAAGAATATGGGTCCGTCCGACAGGCCGCTGCCGGCCACCACAGCCGACGAGAGATCATCGGGTGGGAGGGACAACCCGCTCCATAGGTCATCGTCACCGCTGAAGCTGCTGATGCCCGTGCTACCTATGCCGCTTGTGGTGGTGGTGGTGGTATCTTCACCGTAGATGTTGACCGTCGTCCCACTGCCGATATAGATGGTGCCCGGTGCACTCACCTCCCCGGACCAGACCACCTCGAACTCGCCGCCTTCGCAGTCGAAGACCGTCTCGAGGTCCACGCCGCTGGTTGGACTGACGGTCAGCTCGCCGGTTGCTGCCTGCAGGCATGGCGCCGCGAGCGCGGGTGCAACACCCATCCCCAGGTACGCCCATGCCCACGCGACGGCCAGGAGGGAAAAGCCTTTTCGCTGTCGAACTCCTCCCTTGGTCTCGGGATGATGTCCACGCTGCTCGTGTCCTGGCGCTCGCCTTGCCCCGACGTCGGGAGGATCAGTTGGAACAACGTCGGGGACATCGCCGACAAGTGGAGCCAGCGGCCTAGTCTTCCGGAAAGCTGCTTGAAGAGAGAGAGGGAGAGAAGCACAAGGAAATACGGTGCGTGAGCTAATCGGTATAGGGGCTACACCGATGAAGCTGGTTCTTCTGCGTTGCAGCCACTTCCACAGCTGTGGTTCTTAACGGGCACACTTTTTCTGAGAGTTATTGAGGACGACTGAAGGTCCCAACACGCTAGAAAAACGGCACTCTCAACAGACGGCGCTGAAAGCACTGCGGAGGAACGGAAAGAAAGGCCTGCGAGTTGGGTGGGCTGGCGAAAGCTGAACAGGTAAGTAGTCTTCCCGCGCCCCCCATGATTCGGAAAAGCCCGCCCTCACTCAGAAGAAGAAAACTCCCGGTACTGTTGAAACTCCATATTGTGGTGCATTTCTTGGCATGGGATCGGGGAGTAGGCAGTAGTAATAGTGAACTCGGTTTTATTATTTTCTTCTATTGATTCGACTACATATGTAGAATATACCGCTAGCCCTTACCCGAATGAAACCGTCGGCGCCTACAAGGACCACAACCATAGCATCCGCGCCCTGACGTGGGAGGAAGCTTCGCCCGTTTTTCTGCCGCCGGTCCTACGTGCGTTGAATTCTAGTCTACTCTTCGTGCAGTTCGTCTTCGGCGCCTTGGGAAACACCAGCCCACCCATGAACATATATATCGTTATCACGACACCGACCGGTGCTACCTGCACCTCCATTCCAAGATGGACCAACAAGCAAGACTTATCGCCACGCCCACGTAGATGAGAAAGGCTGAGAGTACCCACACATAGTGCTACATATGTTCATGTTGTTTCGTGGGAGCGTGCGCTGTCGCCCCTGCGGTTGTGTTGTTTCGGATTCAAATTCGGTTCATTCTTCACTGTTGCCTCTATTGCATGAATTTCCAAGCAACCATCTACTGCTGTAGTGGCCAGGTCTGGCATAAGCAGCTTTTTTCTTGCAAAGTGGGATGTTCTCTCGCGTTCGAGGTTTCCTACTAAATCAAGCGTTACTTGCATAGATAGACGCTATGTACACCTTTCTGAGGGAAGATATAGTGCTGTACTCCAGGATTCTCACGTTGAAAACCGAAGGGCGGCACCGCGCAGGAAGGGTGGATAGGGGGCCTCAGGGCGAGGAACCATATTCTGTGTGTGCACGGATTGTAGAGCTCCTAGCATACCCGGCAGAAATGGCTGTGTGTGAGGGCTGGTCGTAACCACGTTGGTTGGTGCTCCCGCACTTTACGCCCATACCAACAGTTAGAACAGGAAGATCCACAGAAGTCGCTGTTTGATTGGGTGAAATGATGACAAGACCACGTTTTTTTGTTACCTGAAGTTCCAGCAAGATTTTTTTTTTTTGTGTTTTCACTTCAAATCAGCGCTCACAGCACTAGTGCCGTTTACTCCAACCCGTGGTCACACAGAAGAGCCCCTCTCTACCGTCCCCTCCTGCGGTACTTTGCCTTCGATTTTTAATGCGAGAAGAGTTCAGCACTGTATTCCCTGTGTGTACACACGTAGCGCTATCCACTAGGCCAGGAGCGGAAGCAAGAGAAAAACTCACTTTGCAAGAAAAGATCGCTTACGCCGGGATTCGAACGCCTGACCTGACGTCTAGAAGGTATCGACGTTACAAACTACACAACCGGGGCGATGGTTCAGAAAACCCGGACGAACTTTTTTTTTACTTCATCAGTGTGACCCAACGAATCCATCTCTATCAAGAAAAGAGTCAAAGACAGATTTCAAAAGTTGGATTTAAATTAAGGAAAAATAAATACACACATAGAAAGACTACCCATTCGAGATATACCGAAATAATGAAATAATAGTTTAGCGAAAGGGTATACGCATACCGGTAGTTCCCAAAGGCAACCACAACCAAAAAGTTGGGTCATGAAACTAAAAAAAAGAAAGGTCAAAGGTGGCAAAGAGTGGACGACCTGTTGTCACCTTCTCGCCACGTTGCAACATAGCACGAGGACAGTCTTCACGCTCGCGCACCACACACGCCCCACCATCAACCTTTGAGCGCAAGATGATACCCTCCTCGCATGCTGACCAACAGCAGCGTGACAATTAGCAGCAGCAGCAACCACCAGTGTGTGCCTCAACGATGTCGAACCGCGCATAAATATATGATCTCCCCTCGTTCTATATGCCTGTGCAACCATTCCACCGAGTGGGTACAATAAGTAGTGTGTTCCCAGCCCGCGCAGCTCTCAAGGAGGCCACTGACCATAGCCCCAACTACCCATCTCCACACAGTTGCAAACCAACACATCAACACCTCCACAGCCTATTCGTTGCTATGCCGACCACTCAACTCGAAGTCTGGGTCTGTTTTGTGCTATATACAAAGCAGATATTGTAGAACCCGCCACCATGTTACTCCCACGGTGCTGCTGTGGATCTTCCTCTTCTATATAACTGTTGGTTGGTGTGGGTGTGGGTGTGAAGTGTGGGATGTGGGAGCACCAAAGAGTGGTAAGACGAGGCCTGGGCTGACTTGTCAACCACGACACCGAACCAACACCCACACACACACCTGAATAACCTCTCTTTGCCCCCCAAGACAACAACTCTTGAAACTACACACATGTGAAAGCACGCGCTTTTGGACAAGAAAAAAAAAACTTACGGATCGCACGAATGTTGTCCGGAGTTGCCGTGAGTCAGTAGTACACTAGTAGAGATGGCGATTCTCATCACACACTCTCATGAGCGAAGAACGATGTCATGAGTGTCTTATGAGACTCTTATGAGCTATCTTGATGGGGATGCCAAAAGAGGCTGTGAAGGCCTTAGCAGCCGCATTCATAGCAAAGCATGAAGCTGAGAGATTGTGGGCTGCATCTATCTGGGCGTCTGTGTCCAGGCTGCTGTTTTGCTGCCACTGGTGCCGGCGTCTGTCGCCAACACGTCAACACTCCATATCTCAATATACGCTCGCACGCTGCTGCTGCTGTGGATGCTGAGGATGCTGAGGATGCTGAGGATGCTACCGTGGGGTTCGACAATAGTCTATTTCACGCGTCCGGGTCTCTGCTTCGCCAGACTACCCGGAAGTTAAACCAACGATTGGCCGCATTGTTGTTGCTGGGACAAGGCGCCGCGGGAACAGAGAAAACAATTGCTCTCTTCGCGGTTGTTGGTTGACGAAAACCACAGGTGCCAACATACAAATGGTCGCATTATCGGTGCCGGCACGAGGCCGAGAACTGTAAAAATGCTTTCTTCGCAGTTGACGAAAATACCGGTACACTTGGTTATGCGTATGTATGATATGCGTCTGATGCCTAACCCAAACGGCTTTTGGCGACGATGCTTGTCCTACACGTATACATGCATACCGTGCGCAAAAGCGTGACAGCGGTGTAATCTTGGGAATTCAAAAAGAACTCTTGACTCATCCAGTGCTCCAGTGCGTTTACCTTCCTCCTGTGCGACCCGGTGCGTCAAACATATAACCAAAACGTGAACCGAGAGGTGCAGGCTAGCACCAAGCAGGACTTCTGCTTGCTACACTGCTGCTGTGTGGATGTGACCACATCACTGTTTTCGCGTGAGTCATATGCGGCGCATTTTTTTTGTTCAACGCTCCCTTGCCGTCACTCACATTTTTCCATGCCCCCGTGCCCCGGACGGCGGCGGTATTCAAGCGTTACGCGGTGGTGTCAACTCACGAACTCCCGCTTGCCGTTGGGGTGGTTGTCAACGAGGTGTGGTGTGCGAGCACGAACTGGTATGTAGACACATTGTATGATGGTGAACGAATCCAGTAGTGCTACAAACGAATTTGTCGAATGTGATGGTCTCCACGTCGGATACCATTCATACCATTTCTCGGAACATTTCTTGGGTACATGCAGCCCATGCACGGAAATCTAGCTTTTTGCCTGTACAACAACCTTGCCCCAACGGTACACAGCAACCTAGCCCTTACCCCCGCTTTTGCCGCGGCTTAGCCTAAACGTTCTATCCATCGGGGTTTATCTCTCCACCTCCTCCCCACCCACCCACCGGCCTTCTTCGGGCAACTCTGGAGATTTATCCAGGAAGTTTCCTTAGTAAAATTCCCGTCAACGAGCACCCCTCAATGAATCTATAGGAGAACGAAAAGAATAAAAATAAATCATGAATCCGAAGATCCTTTGTCCTCTTATTCGTTCCGAGGAGTAATGTCACCGCCGCACCCACGCACACACCACCACCATCCATATATATGCGTCATGTGCTGCACATACATCGTTCCATTGGGACCGTTTCACGATGCTATAGGCACACCACAGGTTGCGTGGTTCTCCTTCTTTACCCCAAAACACCAGAGGGGCCAGCCACCACAACACGCCGTATCCTGTATCCCATATCCACCTCACCCTCCCACACGTATTCAGGTAGCCAAAGAGTTGGCGGTGTTATGCACCCCAAGCGGGATATTTCTGTGACAACATCTGTCTCGGCGCTTGGCTGGCTACCCGCTTTACCCCACTTCGTCACGGAAATCCACCGAGCTCAACCAACCCCAAACGTTCCGCGGCGTGTTTCCTTGTCCCAAGGACGCCCGCGGTCGTCCCCGGTGGTCTTCTAGCGTCTAACCTCCCAAGCCTACGAGTAGCAAGTTGCGAGTTCGATTCTCTCTCTGTAGAAGGTCTTCTTTGCCTTTACTCTAACTTTCTTTGCCGCCGAAACATTGTACTGCCTCCCCGCCTGTCTCTACCTAACAACGGTTACCGACGTAACCCTGAAAGTATTACCGGCAGGGTTAGGTTGTTGTACTGTACCACCGAAACACACAAAACCAACCCACCGCGAAACGATTACCGGGAATAACGGCGGACATATACTTAAACATTTCGATTGGCCCCTCCACCGAAGTCGATACCCCAAAATAACGGAAGCCGCCTACCGCTGAAAAGTTATCACCGCATGGTATTTACAGCCCTGCCTGTGTTCGCCTCCAACATGGCTACCGACACATTTCTTGAAACATGTTACCGCCATAGCTAGGTTGCCGCCTCTGATAAAGCCCGCACCGCTGAAAAACGCAAACCTAACCTACCGCGGAATAAACCACCTGTAGCACATTACAGCCGAAACCGTATCACCATATTTACGTATTGCCGCCTCCGTAAAGTCTTAAAGTCTTTCCCCACCAGTAATCTACCGGCTACCGCCGCAGCAAATACCACCGTATTTAGTACCGCCCCCGCCTTTGTCCATCTAAAAACCGATAAATTATTTTTTTCATTGCGGGACATTCTACATTCGTTACTGTAGATCCGAACGTTACGAAATTTGAAGATACAGTCTAGAGGAAGACATCACATGTCTGATGCCTGATCGGGCCGGACAACCTTAGTCAGCCATTGCGACCTTTGCCACTGGTTAGCAGGACGCCATAGCCAACAGTGAATGCCCACTGTATATATGAAGCATATAGCGTACCAGGTGCGTCGAGGTTGGAGGACAACACACATACAAAAACAGGATACTGAAATAACGTCATAGAATGTACTGTGGGGTCGTTCCCATGTGACGGCAAATAGAAAAAACTCTTGGAATCTGGGCACATGGGAGATCATGTTGGTGCCGGCCATTCCTTCGCCGATGTGTCGTCTCCCGCTTCAGTTGTTGATGTTGCTCTTGCCTGGCCCCCGGGCGACTATGCTGTTGGCAACACCCCTTCAGCGGTCGGTCCAAGAGGCAAAAGCCCCACAGACGCCGTCGGAAGGCGCCCGTTTACGGCGATACGGCGAAGTGGTCCTGCAGAGGCGGATAAGTCGGGCGGGCTAGCCACTATCTTCGACAAAGCGGTCCGCAGGCTGCCTGTAGCTGAAGGCCCCAAGCTCGTCGGAGAAGCAGCTGACAGGGACAAATGACTCTTGTAGCCGGCATTGCCCCCGGCCGTCGAGTGCAACGCCGAGGTCGAGGCGTTGTCCCAAAAAGAGCATTCCTCCCCGTCCTCGGTCTTGGCATCGCCGCCGGTCTTTCCCATCGACTCGTCAGTCTTTGTCACCTCCGGGCCAAGCACTCTGTTGATCGTACTCTCGTGAACGATGTCTACACCGAGAAGCATGTCCTGTTAAGGGAAGCAACAACCAGTCGACAAGCACAATTTTAAGAAGGGCCCTCCTTGCCGCGACAAGCAGTGGGCTCAATCAAGCGCGCCGGTGGGTGGGGATTGAAGACGAGTCCTCTGCATAGCGTTTCTCTGTTCCTTACGAAAGCTGATGACTTTAAAGACCACTCCCGTACGGTGAACCGCTCTTCATCTTCAATACTAGCAGTCTTCGGAAGGAGGTTGTGTTCATTCAGCACGTTGTCAGATCACGGAGCTCGAAACCACAAATCACGCCGCAACTCTTGATTCCATCACTCCCCGGAAGGTCAGTAGCCTCCGCAGGTTTTTCGTATTCAGGAAACATGTTGGATAAAGCATCCAATCGGGGAAGCCGGGTTAGGGTGAGTGTTAGGGATAGGGAATAGGGTCTGCGTCCATCCTCCCTGTTCTATTGCCTCATAAACTTATTTATCGCGCGAACGCGATCCCGGAAGGTCAGATGGTGTTGTATTGAAGCATGGTGAGAAAACGAAATGGGGGAAATATACACGCCCGACTTACTGATGAAATAATGATTTCCTATGTCCGCTCACTAGGTCCTGTGTAGCCCTCGTTGCAGTAATCCTGCAAGCCTACGACGGTTGTCCCGCCCTTGCAAGCGTCCTTTGCGGACATATCAAAGAGAATAGCCAGGTGTTGTTGACGAGGGGGGCAAAGGCACGTGTTGATGATGAGAATATTGGAGCAACTATCAATGCGATGCGGGATTCCACGAAAGTAAGACCTCGTGGGAAAGGTTGAGCGGGAGGGAGGGGGAGGAACGCCGGAATGCAAATGGAGCTACAGGAACGGAGCCGAATCGATGATCACCATGAATGCTGAGGGACGCTTCTTTGGGCCACAATCTAGAATCATTTGATGGCAACTGCCCTTTGACCACACGCTCTGGTCACCCGTGGAAGCGTCATTTCCAGACGACCCGGACCGAAAAAGCTATGCTGCTTTCGTTTAACCGCCATCGGCCACCACACGCACCTCGTTGAAGCACTCGCGAATCGTGAGGGAAGTGACGCCAGCCCGCCAGTAGCCTGCCTTGATCGGAAGCTCTCTCGTAGTAGCGCCGGCGGATGCGCACTCCACCCCCTTGTGCCATATACCAACAGGACGCAGGGAAACGTGTTGGGAGGGTGGGGGGCGGGAGAAAGGAAACCGCAAACCTCGCTTGTGACATTGTTGTGGTTTGTCCCCAACATTGGAGGAGACAACGCGCCGACTGTTGAAAGGATATGGTGGCCGCGGAGGCGCAACGTCGGCATGATATTCGGGGTGGCACGTAGGAGCAGTAGCAGCAATGCATGTCAACATGGGGAACGGACTTCCATCGCAAACCAACAAAAGGCACCCGGGGGGGCGGAGCGAAGGATCGTAGTTGTCCAGCGGAAAAGAGTGGTGCGCGGTTTCATACCGAAACACCGCCGTTCCATATATTTGGCAGGTAGAGCACGGAGGCTGGGTGAAACTTGATGCGTGGAGTTGGTCTTGGGAGGGGATTGGCTGGTACGGTGGAAAATAAAATACGAGCCAACCTGTGAATGCACGTTGATAGACCGAGAAACAGGAGCGGGATACGATGTCACAGGTCTCCCTGGCGGAGGCAACCGTTTCGGGTTGAAGGTGTGGCTACAGAAGAGGACGTGGCACCCAGTCAGTCAAAACTGAAAGCTGTGAGAAACTACGGCGAATATTGAAGACGGCGCCAGAAAAAGAGTCACGCGTACGTAAGTGATTATCTTTATGTTTCATTTTAACTGCTGTGTGTTCCGTCTCAAAGAGAAGAAAAAAACACAAAAACGATAAACAATTCCAAGTAGCGCCAGGTCATCTCAAGATAAACGGCATGCACGGACCCCGCACCTAAACAGCGCCATCGATGGACTCGGTGCAGAGTGTGCACGCCACGGTGGGGTCGAGATCTGCCCCCGAGACGCTCTGGCTCCAGAAGTTACCCTTACCGCACAAGTAGTACTCCACGCTGACTGTGACGTCACCGCCTTCACTCTGAGGCTCTGCGTTGCTCGCCAGGATGGACGCCGTTGTGGACAGGGCAGTGATGTCGTTCGCTCGGACGGTGATGTTGGCGAGGCCATTAGATGCGTCGTTCGGCTGACTCGCAAGGTGCAAGCGAACGCTGCAGAACAACGGAACCACGAACGACGGAAAAACGGCCATCACATGCATGGACAACCTCCAATTGTTTCGATTGCACAATCCCTAGTGCCTGCCCTGCTGGTTCAATCGATATCCCGGGTGAAACCGAAAACCACCCTACGGGTGTACCCTATATCTGACACCCGTCCCATCACCTCGGCGGGGAAAACCCGTGGTTTCGTTGCCACTCCACTGACTTGAGCTCACATACCAGTGGTACACGCTCGCGATCCTTTCACCCATCGGTAGTGTCATGCCCTCACCTCTCCCCTGGGAGCACCAAGCCTGTCGATGGGAAAAACGTCCAGTCGTCTTGCTCGCCCTCTGAGGACGGCCACAGCCCCGACACGCTCCACGTCACCCGGCTAGCGCCGACACAGCTCCTGCTGCTGGTGGCGATGTCATCGTCGTCTGCGTTGGTTGCGTTGGAAGGCGCAAACGACAGTTGCAGCTCTCCTTCGAGCAAGCTCGGGTAGAAGGTTAGTTTGGATTCGGTGTCTTCGATCAGGGTCAGGGTCAGCGCGTCCACGTCTCCACTGGCGCACACCTTTCTTTTTGTATTGCCGTGGCGAAAGGGGTGGGGCAGCGACGAGGGGCACAACGCAAAAGAGGCGAAGTTGTTGAGATGGGAGACATGTCGTACGACCGAGTTGTGTAGGAAGGCAGCAGTAACATCTGATCGGTGCGGTTCGAGTGGGTGCTGGTGACCCTGTATTAGGTTGGGACACAATCCGTCAGAGGTAAGCACTCTTGGGGCACTAACAACGATGACGAAGTGATTGCCAACGTCGTGAGTAAAAACAGAGAGGCTGGTCAACCAAAGCTCACCCTATCCATCGCAACCAAGACCTGTGGAGTGGATGCCATAGCTCCATAGCAAAACGATAGACTAATGTGTTCCCTCGAGACGTACGGAACAAGGGCGTGATGAGCGTTGTCCAACCCTGCGAAAACTGATGTGCGCAGCAAGTTGGGGTGTGGAGTCCTGTTTCGAGGCTAAAACCCAACACGTGCGAACTGTACCATGAGGGGTGGCGACAAAAAACAGGTACAGTAGACTTTACAGAAGGCGCCACCGCCAAAGAAACTTGACAAGTACGTACGAAACTACACTAGCCTTCGCGTTTCACGAAACGGAAAAAACTCTGAATATCTTCCCTGTCGGATCCCCACTGATCAACATGTATCCAGGGCTGCGCGACGGGAGAGTTTCTGGAGGCCCACTCCTAAGTAGTGGCGCGTTCAGCCCACATATATCTACAAGTACTAGAGTTCCTGGAACCAAGGTAGGCCTTGCCCCGCACAACATGGCGATTAACACGGAGGGTCATCAGCACCATGGCACCACTGGAATATTTCACAGCGTGGTAGAAAGCACGTCTTGCGGGGCGTGCAGCGCTCGTACCTCTTCCAAGGTGGATCTGAGCTGGTAGCGCTCGCAGTAGACGCCGAGGTCACCCTCGAGACACCACGACCCTTCACCGCAGGGTGACACCGCCGACAATGAGTTGCACGTCAGGTTGATGTTGATGAAATTTTTGGCGCTCGGCAGTTGCAACATTTCTGACGCTTCCTCGGCGATGGTTTTGTCTGCCACATGCACGGTTGCGACAGGCAAAAGCCCGCACAGGATAAAAACGGTGGCAGCAGAAAAGGGTCACGGGGGCCCTCGTGAGAGACAACGAGGAGAGGAGCCGTGGTCTGACTATAACCTCAACAATGGCCTCCCGGGCACCAAGAAAACCCTCAACTTTCGCGATGGACACATATCAGAGGGAAGAGTTTCCAGGGAGAAGCAAACAGCGAAGATGGAGCCAACCGACGAACTCACGGCGCCATATCTACCGTGTGTACGAAATAAATAACGAGGGCATGAGCCGGAAGGGAAAACAAACGGGCCAAGCCGAGGGCAAGGCGTATAGACCATTCCCACGACCCACATGCCGTTAAGCTAGCAACAACGGAGTGGCAAACAAACGGCACCTATCAACTCACAGTTCATTTCTCCTAGCACAGCGTTCCGGATCACGGTGGCGTCTTCCAGTTCCGCGTAGACCAGCACCGCACTCGAGCTGCCGCTGAAGTCGCACTCGTCAAGGTACCCGCACTCGTCAAGGTACAGCCCCCCTTCACTGTAAACGACCACCTAGGGAGCCAGACGAAAGCCACAAAACGGGGCAAAGCAATTAACGTACATCACGTCCACGTGCTGCACGATAAAAACAAGGTTCTGCGAAAAGGGTTGCGCATCCAGGATTCCGAGTAACTTGGGCAAGAAGCTCCTAAATCAGTGAACATCTATGTGGTATAGCAGTGCCTCACGTTTGCGACCTGTCCACCTTCGTGACGATCACCGCTCGTTCGGGTTCACAAAATTAGGCTACAAAGAGCTACATGCCCCTTTTTTGAGCACACCTCTGACATGGCGCGTTCGAACCCATGGAACTGAACCATGAACGGAGAGCCCTCAATCACGCACGTACCTCGCCAGCAAAGCCCACGAAGGAGGTGTCTTCAGCTGTATACGTAGACAGTCTGTCGGTCTGCACAGCAGATAAGTCGGGGTTCTCCGACGTGTCGTTAACGACCACCTGCTCAATTCGTGTGTGGGGATGGAATTCCTCAGCGAAGCACCAAACACTCGTATGGAGCGAGGGATATTATTGATCTTTCGGACGACGCAGCACATAGATCGACAGACAGGCGTTCGTTTTGTCCCTTCTTGCTCTGGTTCGTCCTCGCGAATCTGGATCATTCGCTCACCTGATACGTGATGAGCTCGCTGTTGACAACGAAAATGGCGCTGCCGCGAGTGACGAAGTTGTCTGACACCTCGACGCCGCTAAGAGCCACCACCGCGTTGTCGCGGGCGTAGCTGCCAAAGTCAAAGCAACAGCAGAGGGAGAGAATTAGAGAGAGAGAACAAGGACGTGAAGGGCATCCAGCACACACAACTGCTGTTGTAGCAGAGTATCGCACCTCACATCACACGCAAAATCTTGTTATTGAAGTATCCACGAACTGGGAAGGGCGAAACGCAGATCCTATCCAACCTCTATCTCAACGAGACAGCAGGGGATAGAGAAAGCAATCAACAGTAGTGAAAGATGTGCGAGGACGTTGCTGAGCGATTCCCGTGGTGGAATTCTCTTCGAACGCAAGAAGACGTACTCTCTCCCTTCTCACATGGCGGGCCCGATCAGCGCAGAGTTCTCCCTCAGGTTGCACTCCCACTCCAGATTCGCGCCATCGATGGCGTAGATCGCGTCGCCATCGACGCCCTCGTGCTTCAGAACTGTCGCTCCCGAGCAAGTGGCATTTCTCTTGCTCGCTTTGTACAGAAACCCTCCGAAATCGGCCTTGTTTGAGATGAAGGTTCCTCCGGTTACCTGGCGGAAGCCGATTGTTTCGAAACCAAACACCCGTCAGACGGTGTATCCGAAGAGTAACGGTTATATGGACTTTCCGCCGGAGGAACAACCCAATAGGAGGCCTACCTTACGTTAGTGCTTTGTTGAAGATGCGTTTCGTTGCACGGCCAAAGTGACAACAAGAAAGAAGTCAGCGATTTCGATGGCGTGGCGACGCTTGACACCCGCACCTCGATGCCTGCACCGCTCTCGGCGAAGAAGGCGCCCCCTCCGTTGCTTGCAGAGTGTCCTTGCAACAGGCCCCCGTTGAACACCAACGAACCGTCTTCGACGACGGAAACCACGCCGCCGTTCTCGGCCACGTTGTTCTCGAACGTGCCTCCTTCCTCTACTATCGTGCTGTTAAGGCTGCCTTGAATCACTCCGCCATTCTTAGCCGAGTTGTTGGAAAAGTGCCCACCCAGGACGGAAATCTCACCCCTCGTCCAAAGCACTCCCCCGCTCTGCTCGACTTTTTGCCAGCCTTCCTCTTCAGTCTGACGCGGTTCGGGGGGTCTCTTTAGTGAGTTATTCGAAGTGGCGCCAGCAGCGCAACGGTTGAGCTTTGAGGTACAGCAGTCGAGACGCCTTGTTGCCCCCCGATGCTACGAAAGGCCAATCAAAGAGAACCCTCAGATTGGAACGCGTCAGGCCCGCATTGGACCGTTGCTGAGCGCCAAACGCGAAACAAGCAACACTGGGCGGGCGTCGGGGACAAATTAGCGTAGGCAAGTCGAAACAAGATCGTCATATCAAGATCAAGATCAAAGATCAAAGATCATATCCTAGGAGACCGCTCATTCTCTGTCATGTGTCCATCTGTTTTCCCGCGTCCGAGCATACGACGCAACCGTTATTCACTCGATTAATACCCTGGATTTGAGCAGCGAGTCACAACTATCAGCCTTTAAACAATCTTTCAGGAAATTTCGAGGCGCGGCCTTTTCTGCGTACAGTAGAGGTCCCTGTTGAAGGCCGGAAAACACCGGCCTCATGTCGGGGCACCCGGCACTATTCAGGATACGAGACACCTATAATGTTCCATCGGTGCCAAGCGGTTTCACCGGCCTTGAATAGCGACCTCTACTGTACCTCCATGTCCGCCTCGTTGCCGATGAAGGTTCCCCCTTCGACCGTAATGATGGAATTGTAGTCCGCCCCGATCGCGGCGCCACCCTGGGCACACCTGTTTCCGCAGAACACGTTACCCTGCCCGACGATGGTGGTGTTGGTGAACTTGTTCATGGTCACCCCGCCGGCGTTGTTGAGCAGGGCCGTGTTGGACACGAAGATTGAGTCTTGCACGACGAGAACGGCACCGGGGTCGTCGTCCAAGTTGCCCCCTCCCGACAGGTTGACCACCCCGCCCTGTGTTAAGACCGGAGATATCAGCAGCGGTAAACGGGGTTGGCCGGCAGGCGGGTGCGGGGGGAGAACGTAGTAAATAGCGTAGTACGCACACTCCAAAGCTGGTCTGCGAGGACGTCTTGCCATTGCTCATGCTCAACAGGAGTGGAAGAGTTCGTACCAGATGATAACCACGATGTCACATCGAGGATTTCTGAGTTTCTGGGGGGTTCTAAATAGGACACGATCCAGCTTCAATGAGGTGGGAAGTGACAGAAAATGGCACGCATCACGCAAGAGGGAGTCTACCCCGCAGCCATGGCGCTTTCAGCTCCGCACAGACTGTAGCGTCTGCTGGTTTCGTCGAGCATAACAATGATGGAAGTGGGAACAACCCCACGCGCCAGCCGCACAATCGTCGAACCGTGTGTGGGCACACTAAACCGAAAAACATGCCCTGGTGCGACCCCAAGAGGACGCTATCTGCTGCTTCGTGTACTCTCCACGATGGTCAGAACTCGCCGTGCAAACGATTTCCAGAAACCAGGCGTCGGCGGTCGTGCCGACACGGAAAGGCCGCAAGTCGAGTAACGCGTGGGTCATTTCTTTGGTGTGCAATGAATGCAGAACCCCCAAATCTCGTAGCTTGATGCATTAGGTATATCGTTTTGTTTGAGAGGTTTCATCGTAGTCTTCCAAGGACCAAGCCGAAAGCCGGATTCATACCTCTCGACTGCTGTAGAACAGAAACCCTATCTCGAAACACTACGGTGCTACAGTCAACCTCGATACCAGACGATGAGCGGCATCGAAAAACGTCCAGGTGAGTTTTCTGTGGCTTTTAGCAACCGCAATACGGCAACCAGGAGTAACGGTAAGAATACAAAAAGGAGGCGGTGTCACACGAGAGGGGCAGAGCCCACCTCCGCCGACACCTGGTACCATGTATCAAGGCTGACGCCATACAACAGCAAACGCACCACCAAAATAAAAAACGCCCCACGCTTGTACGTTTTTTCTGGTCCAGTTCTTCTCGAGGAGACAGTCCGAGAGGAGGAGCGCGCACCCCGGGCCCACCACAATCGCGCCCTCTTCACCCTGAGGGTCGTCCGACAGCGCCTTCCCGGCCGTGTTGTTCCTAACCACACACCCGTCAAGCTCCACCGTTGGGCGATCGCCATCATCCCCGGCCGCGATTATTAGCGCACCGGCCTTTTCCGCCACGGAATCGTTGAAGAAGACCGTGTCTCGGAAGTCGCAGGGCGCAGCTGCCGCTGTCCGCGTATCGGAGAAGTGCGTGCAAGCGGTCTTGGCCACCGCCCCACCCTCTCCTATCGGATCCTCTGGAGAAAGCGAGGGAAACAGCGTTGGGGGGTTACACGGGGTGGGGGGATGGGGAGATTGAGCTGGGGGCTGGCCACTGACGTAATCCCTCGATATCTGCATCATGGTGGAGAAGGATTGCGAGACTGTTTCGGCTTTCTCATCCCACTTGGCTGCGAGCGTGAACCAAAGGTAGGCAGGCCCCCCGAATCAAGAGCGCGGTGGTACGGGGCGGCGACGGGACACTTTGGCTGCATCGGCCCCGTGATTGCGAAACAGCACCACCGTGCGGGTGTCTTTCGTGAACCCGCGGCAAGGCGCGCGGCGGTTTTGGTCTCTCACTTGAATCTTCGTTGTCGCTCCCGGCGGTTTTGTTGTAGAACAAGGAGCCCACCACCGACAGCTGTCCCGACTTCTGGAGGAGGCCGCCCCCCTTCTTGGAGGCATAGCGCGTGTCGAACAAGCAACCTTCGACCAGTACAGTAGAGTCCTTGGCCTTAGGAACAGCGCGGGCAAGACGACAGCAGTCGCGGTAGGAGGTTTGGCAGGAGGTAGGGAAGAAACGACGCCGAGAGCAGATATAATGACACCGGCCTTCAGCCATCCACACTCCCGTCGTAGGCATTGCATGGGTCGGAAACTGCACCACCAGTAGTCACGCATACATCAGCTCCCAAACCAAAAAAGTAGGAAGTACCGTCCCGTGTAAGCACACCGCACAAACAGGTGGTGGCCGCTGCTGTGGTGTCGAGCTTGAACAAACGGGGTTACAACTTCCGAACCTGTGCGGAGGACCGATTTCCCTGTACTAAGGATAGAACATGGCCGTCGAACAAGATATGTTAAGGCGATAGAGTCGCGGAAAGTGGTCGGGGCAGGAGGTCGGGTATAAACGACGCCGAGAGCAGCCATAGCGACACCGGCCTTCATCCATCCACACCCCCTTCGTAGGCATGGAAAGGGTTCCCTCTATTAAACACGGGCGCCCAAGAAGAGGTGCAAAGACGAGTTGAAACTACTACCACCGGGAAGGCGCTCACCGCGATGCCGCCACCAGCCCCCTAAACCTCGTCTTCGTCCTGCCCGGCGAACGATACAAGCCCCGCGGCGTTTTCCCTAAACATCGAGTTGACGACAGTCAACATCGACAGGTTGGCCAGCACTCCGCCTCCTCACACCGAGGCGAAGTTGTTCTCGAACAAACAGCCCGTGATCGTCACATTCGACTGTACCGCGTCGACTCCACCTCCGCTGTCAACGGTCGCGTTGCTGTCACCGTTCGCGTTGCCATCGCGCACGGCCAAGGCGTCGAGGGAGAGCTGCCCACCGTTGACGAAGAATATGGGTCCGTCCGACAGGCCGCTGCCGGCCACCACAGCCGACGAGAGATCATCGCGTGGGAGGGACGACCCGCTCCAAAGCTCATCGTCACCGCTGAAGCTGCTGATGCCCGTGCTACCTATGCCGCTTGTGGTGGTGGTGGTGGTATCTTCACCGTAGATTTTGACCGTCGTCCCACTGCCGATATAGATGGTGCTCGGTGCACTCACCTCCCCGGACCAGACCACCTCGAACTCGCCGTCTTCGCAGTCGAAGACCGCCTCGAGGTCCACACCGCTGGTTGGACTGTAGGTCAGCTCGCCGGTTGCTTCCTGGAGGCACGGCGCCGCGAGCGCGGGTGCAACACCCATCCCCAGGTACGCCCATGCCCACGCGACGGCCAGGAGGGAAAAGCCTTTTCGCTGCCGAACTCCTCGCTTGGCCTCGGGATGATATCTACGCTGCTCGTGTCCTGGCCCTCGCCTTGCCCCGGCGTCAGCGGGAGGATCAGTTGGAACAACGTCGAGTACATCGCCGACAAGTGGAGCCGGCGGCCCCGTCTTCCGGAAAGCTGCTTGAAGAGAGAGGGAGAGAAGCACAAGAAATACGGTGCGTGAGCTGTGCGGTATTGGGTGCGGTATTGGGAGGACACGGATGGAGCTGGTCCTTCTGCATCGCGGCCCCTTCCGCAGCTGTGATTCTTCAAGGGCACACTACAGTACAGTAGTTCTGAGAGTTATCGAGGACGACTGAAGATCCAAACACGCTGAAACACACCTCTCAACAGACGGCGTGCGGAGGAACGGAAAGAAAGGCCTGTGAGTTGAGTGGGTTGGTCTTCTCTCGCCCCCCATGGCTCGATAAAGCCCACCCTCACTCAGCAGAAGAAAATTCCCGGTACTGCCAACACTCCATACTGTGGTGCATTTCTTGGCATGGGATTGGGGACTAGGTAATTACAGTGAATCGAGATACATTCTTTTCTTCTTTTAGGTTAGGCTAGACTACCACTAGCCCTTACCTGAATGAAACCGTCGGCGCCTAATCACAACTTAGCGGTCCGCCCCCGGCCGTAAGAGGAAGCTTCGCCCGTTGTCCTGCGGCCAGTCCTACGTTGAATTCTAGTCTACTCTTCGTGCAGTACGTCTTCGCCGCCTCGGAAAACACCAGTTCACCCATGAACAAATCGTAATCACGACACCACCGGTGATATCTGCAGCTCGATTCCAAGACGGACAAACAAACAAGACTTGTCGCCACGTCCACGTAGACAAGAATGTCTGAGAGTACCCATACACAGTGCTATTCATGTTGTTCCGTGGGAGCGTGCCCTGTCGTCCCTGCGGGCTTTGTTTCGGATTCAAATTGATTTCATTCTTCACTGTTGATCTATTGCATGAAATCCAAGCAACCATCCACGGTGTAAGTGGCCAGGTTCTGGCGTATAAGCGAATTTGTTTCTTGCAATATGAGTTTTTCTCTCGCTTGTATCCTTGATGTTCCTTGCTGCTGTGGACACTTTGAGGGGAGAGAGTGTTGCACTCTAGGATTCTCGCGTTAAAAAACGAAGGGACGCACCACCGAGGAACCCTTTTTGTGTGCACGGATTGGAGCTCCTACCCAGCAGAAAATGGGTGTGAGCGCTGATTGTAACAGAAAAAAAACTCACGAGATTCCGAAAGATCAGAATGTTGTGATGAGTTAAATTGTAGATAGGATGGCGAGTCTCATCACTCTCATGAGAGAAGAACGATCTCATTGGTGTCCCATGGGACTCTCATGAGCTCTATCTTGATGGGGATACCACAAACAAACGAGGCTGTGAAGCTTTAAAGTAGCCGTTGCAAAGAATGAGAACATAAAATATTCTCGCTGAGAGATTCGTGGTCTTGCTGCTACTGGTGCCTGTGTCCAGTGTCCTGCTGCTACTACGGCACGTACGTGTATGTTGCGAAACTTCGTGTGCGCAAAGTGTGACTGCTGCGTGCATATCTTTGGATTCAGAAAAGGAGAACCCCATCCAGTGTGTTTAGCTTCCCTTCCGTGCGACCCAGCTGGTGCCCGGTGCGTCAAACTTGCAACGAAAACGTGAACCGAGGACTGCTTGCTACTCGTCTTCGCGTGCGCGTGCGTCATTCGCCGCGCATTTCGTGGAATTCTTTGCTGGCAATCACTTTTTTTCGTGGCGGTGCCCCGGACGGCGGCGGTCCTCAAGTTTTATGTGGTTGCCGCGGCCGACAGGTCTACTCACGAACTCCCGCTTGCCGTTGGGGTGGTTGTCAACGAAAGTGTGGTGTGCGCGAACTAATTGGTATGTACAACAGCAGTGAACGAATCTTTTGTGGGAGAATGAAAGAATGATGTCCAAGAAAATAATCTCACGGCATCGCGCCGACTGGACCCACATGGACACATTCACGTCGATACATCCATCAACGTGTCATGTCCCGCACATCATGACATCGGGACGGTTTCACGATGCTCATGCTGAGGCACACCACAGGTTGCGAGGTTGCTGCAGCCTAGTTTAGGTCGATCGTATTGGAACCCGCGTCGACCTGCGCGGTTCCCGGTAGGATGTGGTCCTGGATTTACTTGTCAAAAGATTGCGCAGCTCAGCAGCAGGAGTGCGCAGGTTTCCTCTGATTTGTATTGATCGAACGCCTCGAGAACCATAATCGCCTTCAACAAGAACCCAACGCCCAACGCCCAACGCTGCTCTCCGCTCTCGCCACCACGCTGTGCGCTGACTGCTCTGGGCAGGCACCCCCGGAGGGATGGTGTCTGCCCGGCTCGTAGGCCTGGCAAGCGTCAAGACGGCTACGAGGCGTACATCCAGCGGCACATCTTCGAGTTCGGAGTCCCAGGCAGCCAGGATCCGCAGATCGATCATCCTTCGCAAGTGTTCTTCGGTAGGTGCGGGGCTCTCCTCCGGAGGTAGGTGCTGCTGTGTGCTCGACGGATCGCAGAGTCCCAGGAGCTAGTAGTCAGGCAGAGTCTAGGAGCTGCTGGTTTGTAGTTAGGCATGGGATCCGTGGGCTCCGCACTACTGTAGAGAGTCGGCAGTTCAGGTGGTCAGGCCCAAGAATTGTCTGATCTCCGACGATACTGCTGTACCACATTGTACAATGTGGTATTATTATAGTCTACCGCTGTAGCGTGGTGTTTTGGGTAGACCTCTACAGTAGTGAGGTCTTTGGTACGGCCAGAGTTTCTTTATGGCGCCGCTGGCGTAGCATAGTTGACTCATGTTGCTTCAAAGTCTGCAGACGTAATGGTGTCTGCAGATATACCTCGAAGGTGATGTTGTTCCAGCGTAACTATTTGCTGCAGCAGTCTTTCGTATCGCACAACAGGATTCGTACGTGCAATCCTGGAAAGTTAGTCCGATTGTGTTTCGGTTCGAGCGCGAGGGTGAATGTCAGCATCAAGCGGCCAGCAGCAGCACACGTTGTCACCCGCTGAGAAGCGAGACTCCAGAGTTGCGCGCCGATCCGGTAGTCATCTCGTGTCGGTGGCCACAGTACACACGCACGTGTCCTCCTCCGCAAAAGCACGAGACCGCCGTTACATCGGCGGCGCAATCGCAGGAGACACGCCCACACCGCGGCAACACACCACCGAGCTAAATTCACTCGCACACTCGTGTCCCCCCCTCCCGTAACAAACACAAACAATCAAATACTCAGATACGGGGATGTGCGTCAGCCCGGACCTGCAGGGCGTCCTCTGGGCGACCGAGGGCCGCGAGGGGGTCTACCTCCTGGCCGTGGACAACCTGGGGGGAGGAGCAGGAGGCGTGGCCAACGCCGACAGCAGGGGCTGAAGCTGCGACTGCGCTTCTCTAGCGGAAGCACGCTGTTCGGCGATGGGGGCGTGGGTGCGGCGACCGAGGGAGAGGAGGAACCGGAGGATGTGGCGGGTGCGGATGGTGCCGCACCGGCGAAGCAACGAGGACCGCTCGGGTCGGCAGCCACCTCGGTCCCAATCGCCCCCGCCGCGCTCTCGGCGGAAGAGCTGGACGCCCTCATTTCTAGGTTGGCCTAGTGGTGCAAGCAGGACGACGCCGTCGCCGCCGTGCCGCCCTCCGACCCCCGCCACGGAAGGACTAAGCGAACCCGCTGCCGGCGCCACCGCCGACGCGGAATGCGAGAGCAGCAGCCGCACAGCCCGTTCCTCCGTGTAGTCCTGCTGCCGTCGAGGCCCTCGAGGTCCTTGTCCCAGGCCTTGTGCGAGCCGATCGGACGGAGCCCCCGCCGGGCGAGGGTAACAGACGCGCCTGGTTGCGCGCGGGGTGATGCGTCACTGCCGGCTCCTCTCCGGCGGCGGCGGCGGCGGCCGGGGGAGAGCCGAGACCGCCCCGCCGCCGCCTGGAATGGGCGCGGGTGATGTCCTCGCTGTGAGACATTTTGGCCGACGAGAGCGAAGGGCTTGTAAGCGGCGGCGGCGGCGGTGGCGGCGGCGGTGGCGAAGGTCCCGGCGGCGTGGGAACAGAAGAAGAAGGAGGCCTTCCCTCCAAGGCCCGCCGGCGCCTCCTGCGAGTCCTGCCGGTTGTTCGGGTCTTGCACGACCCGGTGGGCGCCTTGATGGTGCTGAGAGGGGCCGGGTGTTGGGGTAGCGGTGGCGCTGCAGCTGGAGCTGTCCGGAAACGAGCGAGAGGAAGCGTCGGTGAGGCTACACGGGGTGGTGTCGTTGTCGAGGGTGAGTTGGGGGGGGGGGGGCGGGGAGACTATTGCAGGTGTACAAGGGCAGGATGTATAATGATATCGGGTTTTAGTCTCGTGCGAAGGGTCTGGTCTGCCGTGCATTCACACAGACTGTTGGGGCGGAATAGTGGGCATGGTTCGAGTTTCGTTTTTTTTGTTTTTTTTGTCTTCACTTCAAATCAGCGCTTACAGCACTAGTGCCGTTTACTCCGACCCGTGGACACACAGAAGAGCCCCTCTCCACCTCCCCTCCTGTGTACACAAGAACTAGGGCTATCCACTTGTTGTTGTTGTTGTTGTCTTCACATTAAAAACCGTTCCGATCTCGCTCTACCCAGTACCTTCGTATGTCCGTACTGATCCAACACTCGACGCGGTCGATTCCCGTGGTCACAGGTTAACTTGCCCTAAAAAAGGTACACTCAAATAAACTGGCCCCGAGGGGTCTGCAAGTCAATAGAAACCAACGACAGATACTCTGGAATCCTCCACTCCCTCTGCGCGCTATGCGAGGTATCAACTGAGACTAGGAGTCACTATCATGGGCCGGAGAGAAAGAGGTACACCCCCTTGGTTCAATCTTGGTACTTCACAACGCAACAGCAAAGACAAGGCCATCTGGCACAGAAAAAGAGAGAAAAAAAAGAGAGAAAAAGAGAAAAAATAAAAAAATAGAAACAGTAAGAAGAAGAGAAAATAAGAAAAAAATGAAAATAAAATGAAAAAGAGCGAGGACAAAAAGGGACCAGGCCGAAAATAACTAGAAATAAGAGGCAGAAACAGGCACACGGTGGAGAGACCACTAACGAACAAGCAAACACGCAAACATGGCCACCAACCAGCGATACATTGTAATGGTACGTCATCACTACTACTGGGGGGTTGGTGCAATGGTGCAGCGTTGGGGGTGGGGAATTGGCTAATATAAATTCAATCCGGCACGTATCGTGCCACTCGGTCCGTCTCTTCTCGTTTGCTTTCTTCCCTCGTCGTCTCGTCCGTCTCCTGCCCCCCTCCCGCCCCATTGGTTGTTGGCTCGGCCAGGAGCGGAAGCGAGAGAAAACTCACTTTGCAAGAAAAGCTCGCTTACGCCGGGATTCGCACCCCTGACCTGACCTCTAGAAGGTTTCGAGGATACCAACTAGACCACCGGGGCGACCGTTGTACACGCAGGCGTGTTTGTCGTTGTCGTTCATGGACTGAACTCACCTGTTGAGTGTGTGTGACCAAGGGCGTTGTGAGCTTGCACGTGCGGCAGCCCATGTGTGCCCGCCAGACCTCCCGACCAATTCACGTCCTTCCAATGTGTATTTGTACACATTCACGGAGAATCATCTACCCATCTACGAGACTGAGCGTCGCTCCATACAGAGGATCGCCGCCGAGTTGCGAGGCAGTCTACAGCGGTTCTTGCACATGCCACCACTTGTTCTTGTACGACTATTCCTGTGTGTTTTTATTACTGGCGTCGACCACGCTAACCGCCTGACCAATCAAACTACATCAGTCTCAGTGCGGCTAAGACGGGAGAGCACGGTCTAGTGTGTGTGCGTAGAATGCATCAGTCCTATAGCGGGAAACAAGAAAATGCGAGCACGCTTTCGAGTTAGCTAGTTCCACCGACCGGAAGGGCTGCATTTATTTTGTCAGCGGCGCGCTAACCGGCTGACCAATGTAAAAATGACAGCCTTGAAACGGCACAAAACTGAACCGCCAACAATACATCTTGTCACTAGGAGCCAGCTCGCGTGGCCGCCTGTGTTCCCCTCGTAATATTCGAAACCTCACAACCTAGCTTGTCGCCCCCCTTGTTGATTTTTTCTCCTAGGGGGCACGCGGTGAACATGAAGCACCGGGAGAGGCCGCTCTCATTCTCGGCACCTTAAAAAAAACGTCGTCCCTTCCCCCGCGTCGAACAGTCTCCTCCAGAGCCGACGACGACGACAGGAGGCACGGCGGAGGTTGACGACGAGGCGACGGCCGAGACCAAGCGAGTGGCAAGCGAAGCCGCGATTCGCGTGGTCAACGAGCATGTTTTGCCAACGCGCTTGCGGGGGAGGGGACGACAACCCCGGCGACGGCACCATCGGCGGCGGCGGCGGCGGCGGCGGCGGCGGCGGCGGCGACAGCAGCGGCGGCAATGGCAGCAACGGTGGCAGCGGTGGCGGCGGCGGCGGCCTTGCCCGCCCCCGCCGCCATCATCCTCGCGCGAGCTTCCGTCCTCGCCGAGGCGCTCTGTGCCTGGCAGCCCTTCGAGCTTCACCTCCCGCCGCTCGAGGCGGCCCTGCGGCCGTGGCTTGGGGACCGAGATGGCGTGCGCGTGCTTGCGGCCGTCTTCTTCCCGCGGCTGTCTCGCGACTACACACAACGGTGGCCTTGTCTCAGGGTTTCCAAGGGGAGGAGGCCCGCGGGGTAGGGGGGAGTCGCGAAATTGGGTGGCGAGGGCAGTCGTTGCTTACTGCGACCGGCCCTCTGCGGGCAGCAGCAGCAACAGCAGCAGCAACAGCAGCGGCGGCGGTGACGCTATCGTCTCCGGGGCCTACCGGCGTACAGATGGACAAGGCGAGGGAGCTTGGCCTCGCGCCTCATTTTTTGCTCAGGCTGATGCGGTCTGCGGGGAAGATGCCGGCAGCGTCGGCCGGAGGGCACCACGCCGCACAACAGACCGGCGCTTCCCCTATCGACGCTGGACCGGCCACGGGGCCGTTCCCGCTGACTCTCATGCTCGACCACCGGACGGACAACGGCGGCACATCATCGTCGTGGGTAGCGCCGGCGGCACCCGGGCGCACACGGTCAACGTCAGCCACCGCGGGGAGGAGGGCGAGAGGAGACCGCGCGGATGCCGCGAGTGCTTGGCCCCGGGGGTCCTACCAAACAGCGGCGCCGCTCAAGGAGACGGGCCGCCATCATCATCGTCTGCCGCCGCTGATGGAGAATATTCGGAGGGCCATACCGCTTGGGTGTTTTCCTGCGGGCACGAGTTCTCGCTGGGGCACCTTCTCCGGAGCGTGGTGCCGGCTAGCACGTCGAGCATCCGTCAGGCCACGGCCTCCCTGCAACGCACGCAGCAGGTGGTGGCGCTGGAGTGCGAGCGGGGCCACGGCGCCGGGGCGGCGTGCCCGGTGCGCGCGGCGAAGGGGCTGATGCAGCCGGCCGCGGCGCAGGCGGCGCCGGCGGCGACGGGCGGGCGGTGGTGGCGGCGGGTGGCATTCCTGCCCCGCCCCCTCTGCCGCCGGTACGGCGGTCCTCTGCCACCGGCACGGCGGTTGCAGATGTGAGACACCCAGGGCGTGCGACAGCGGCACTGTGTGGGTTTCGCCCTGCGCTGCTTGGGATGTCGTCGGCCTCTCGGTGTAGGGCGAGCGGAGAGGGGAGGGGTGCTTGTGTCAAAAGCGGGTTGAGTTGCCTAGCTCCTTGCCTCTGGGTGCCGATTTGTCCTTCGCATTTTGCTGCAGCGTGTTTCCTGCGTGTGATGCCCATCTCCCTCTCACCCTATTATAGTGTTCGCGTAGCTTGGCTTCCGTTCGTGGCACAGCATCATTACGACGATTGGAGTCTTCAGCAATGCACACAGCGTGCCCCTCGTTCTATCCGTTCGTGACGCCATCGTACCGCGGATCTCAATGCAGAACCGATCCCAGATGTTCGTGTGATGCACCTGGAAATACCAGGATTGGAGTCGTGCAGTAGCATAGCAGCAGCAGCCGTAGCTTCCTAAACGTTTTCCTGGCGCCATCACCGTACGTACCCAGACACTCAATGTCAATACCTAAAGTACAAAAACTTAATTGGCGACGGGGCCGTGGGCACACGGCAATCTATAATTTGCTCGCCATATAGACTGGCGACGTTCGTGTATAGAACTTCACATTAATGGAAGGGTCTCTAGTGTCCCGGCAGCCTCTAAGCCCACTGGGGCACGCTGACGGTTTATCACGAGTGTTTCTTTTAGTTTGCATCGACCGCGCCAATGGGTTTACTAATGAAAATACGGCGGTGTCGACGGGGGAATATCGAGGTCTTCTCCGGAAGGGCCCCGAAATTCAAAGAATGGGGGTGTCTGTATCGTAAGCATCTTACACGAGTATCAGGCCCGCGTGGCTTGAGTCTCTCGAGTCCCTTCCGCGCAAACGTAACGTGATTGTGTTTATATTATTTGCATCGACCGCGCCAGCCGGCTGACCAATGGAAAGACGTCAGTCTCAGTGCGGTTGAAAACACCAAACACTTCTAAATGCCTTCAACTGGGACCCCGCGAGAGGGCCACGTGTTTGTGTCTGTGCGTTGATGAATTGCTCTGGTGGTGTTTGCACCAGGAAACCGGTACATCCATATACCGACACACGTGTCGTCGTATCATTGCGGTGGCGTATCTGAAGATGACCTGATCACTCCTTCAAGAACACGAAAAGTGAGGTGTATCACATCCGCACCATCAAGCACAGCGACCGGTAGACCGGTACAGTGTATCCCTCGGGGGAAATACAGGAGATACCCCGCGACAGCGGGGAGATCGGAACATTCCTCTTGGCTGAAGAATATTTCTTGTGGAATGTCACGGAAACGTTTTGTCACGGATTCCACTATTTTTTTCCGCCCGCGACGTGTCGTAGTTGGTAGATACCCCGAACGGGTTTTTGAAACCGTCGCCATCTCCTGCCCGATCAACGTGGATCGTGCTCCCCACCTTACTCACTCCTCACTTCCCCCCAGCCAAACACCTCTCCAGCCTCTTCCACAACCAAGCTACAATCACCGTCACATTTCCACAATGCACTCCTTTGGTCTTTTCGCCCTGGCCTTCGCCGCTGTACTTGGCACCTCCTCTGGTAAGCGATGTGCAACAATATCTAACTGATGTGCGGATTTTCATTTATTTCCCTATCGAGGTCTTGTGAGAATGGCATCTGCGGATTCACGTTTCCCTGTCGAAGTGTTTTTGCTTGAAGACTCGACGACCATGGCCCACAAGAACAGCACGGTAGCCTCTGCGCCTAGGCATCTAGGCGCGCGCCTATGCGTGTGCCTCTCCGTGGCTCGTCGACTGTGGATGCAATGTAGAGCCACCCTCCACATGCTGCACTTAGACTGACTGAAGGGGTAGTTCTTCGTCGATTCTTCACCTCCACATGCGTAATCTTGTGCGCAAGCTGGCAGTGCCCGAAACCACCCGCTACTTTCTTCCTTCCTTGTCTCTAACCCCTCCACCCCCCGGCGACCATTGTTTCCGATCCTTGATCACAACATCGAAAAATGACAGCCCTCGTTGACGCGCGCAAGAGGACCACCGTCAATAAGTGGGCCAACGCCTACGACGACAGGACGTCAGAGTACGGAGGCTGCGACCCCGACGGCTGCAAGGCCTCCCTCACGCGCGACCAGAGCTGGCAAGACGAGTCCCGCTGGAGCTGCAGCGAGAAGCTCGAAGACGCCCAGTGCAAGATCACGTACAAGTTCGAAGAGCCCCAAGACATCGTGCGCATCAAGATCAAGTTCTACAAGGGGGACGAGCGCGTCCGGACCCTGAAGCTCAAGGGCAGCGACGGGTTCGAGAAAACCATCACCTCTAGCGGAACTTCCAGCAAGTACGAGACGTGGGACATCAACACCGACGAGACGAAGTGGTTGAGCATGGAGGCGCTGAACCTCGACGACGACGAGTGGATCAGCATCACCGAGGTGCGGATGTAATAAGTGTAGTTTTTTTCTTGCATGTCGAGAAGCGCGTGCGAGCAGCAGGTAGGACTGAACACACAACTTAATATATATGCCAAGGCGTCCGTGTCCCTCCTATCTATGTACACAGATCCCAAGCTGTTTTCCCTATTTAACCTCAGGTGGCTGTGGGTGCATCCATTCAATTAACATATTTTCATTCGTTGTCCTCCTGAGTACTCAGTAGCCTGCGAATCTCTTCACGTTCTTCGCTATCCTGTGCCGTCCACGCCCTTGAATTCACCGCATGTGCGGGAGGAACTGCATGTAAGTTGATAGTTGTAAATGTGTTTTGCCAACATCCAAATACTGCTATGACATATCAATCATTGCAAACCGTTTTCCTATTCCGAACACACCTCAACCTCATGCCTGCACAGGTGCGGTTCATGGTCGACTAAACGTTTCGGGGCCCTCAACAATCTGCAGGAAGAAGGTCGTCATCCGCATAACAATGGCCCAGACGCCGTATATCTCCGACACCACATCTGGAGCGCGTACTACTCTGTACTCCGAGTATGATATTGAAGCGACATTAGCCTGCCCGACATGGGCTTTGCGGGTTGTCGCATCGAAATACAGCGATGTTGTATTGCAGCCCAAAGATGTATTGTTCCACGTGGCGGGAATATTGAAATAGGTTTGGTGATGTTTGTATTCTTAAGTTTTGGTTGTCACTGCTGCTGTGTAGCTGGCCTATCTGCTGTCGCGTCCTAGTGTGGCACATTGATATAGTCTAGCGTAGTAGACGTGGCGAGAGCATGGATCTACCGTCGCTACAGTTTACAGTAGTTGATGCCGCATGAGTCGCCTTTGAAGGTTCATTTTTTGTGTTCAGCCCGGCACCATGATGTTCTGTGCGGCCGTACAACCACGAAAATATGTAGACTACTGTATCTACCTGCTAATAATGCGATGCTTTGCAACACTGCTGGAGTTGCTGATTCCGGCTCTGGCAGCAGCACACAGACAAACGTGTGCATGATGTTGTAGCAGCTACATTAAGGTTGTACTGTATACATTTTTGCCTTGATGTTACGAATCTGACGAGCGCCCTCCAGCGAGCTTTCATTTGTTGTTGTTACTGAAGCATTGAGTTGTTACAGGAGTCAACGACGTAGACTGTACTGCTGTGTTGATATGCGTCTGTGAAGTTACGTGGTGTGCGATCTGTTGCCTGTTGGTCGATCCGCACGACCCCAAAAACTGATGAAAATATTATCGGACTATTTCAAGAAACTATTGTTTCGTACAAGATGCATTACTGTGGCCTCGTTCGGCGCGGTGATGAAAGAGACAGGAGGCCGGTCTCTGCCTTTCTTCGTATGTACAGATGGCCTTTGGCGCCGATGTGCGAATTCGCACAGCCGTCGTACATTGTAGACAATGTTTGTCGGCGATTCTCTGGTGGCAAGAGCGTCCCCATCGTCGAAACCATGTAAATCTGTAGGCCATATCTGTCGAATCCATCAAGAGACAGACGTATCACAAGGGCTGCAAGATGAAAGATACCTGTCTGCAAGAGCCGGTATGAAATGCGGCGGAACACTACCCTGCCGCCGAAATTTGTCGAATCGGCACAATATGGGCGTTTCAGAACCAGAACCTCATTTTCGTTGAGATTGAAACTGCACGGTACTCACTTGTGCTCACTGAGCCCCCATCAAGCCTCGCGCCATTGTCAAACCAAGGCAACACACGGTGCACCGCTCCAAACAGCTAGTGATACGGTCGCATACTGCAGTAGGAAGACAAAGCACCTAGAGTGCTATGGCCGGCTCGTCGTCCTTGGCATTTCGACGAGCTCTGGCCTGCGGTTCCACGTATGGCAGCAACAGCGGCAGCAGCAGCAGGCCTCTGGCCAGAGCGTTGCTGTCCTCCTCCTCGCGAAGAACGCCAGGCGACTCAGCAGCAGCGTTGGCTGCCGACGCCGACGGCACATCAGCGCCTCTAACACCGGGAGCGCCGCCGACCAGAGCAACGGCATCAGCGAGCCCGGGACTCCGCGATTTTCTGTCCAATGTACATGTGGACAGCAGCCGCACCAGCGGGCCCGACAACAACAGCACCAGCAGCAGTAACAGCGAGATGAGTTCTCCGGCTAGCTGGAACAGCGATGACGACGTCGACCCAGCAACAGCAGCCGCCCTGGAGAGTCACAGCGCAAGGACTGCCGATGGCGGGGATTGCGGCCTGGTGGAGAGAACTGCGGGTTCGTTTTTCATCGAAACCTACGGCTGCCAGATGAACGTGAGCGATACCGAGGTGGTGCGGGCCATTCTGTTGAAGGCCGGCTTCAGCGAGGCGGATACCCTAGAAGAAGCAGGGGTGGTGCTGGCGAACACGTGCGCCATTCGGGAGCGAGCCGAGGGGAAGGTGTGGGACCGACTCAAGTTCTTCTCGTCCATCCGGTAAGAGCGTGCATGCTCATTGTTGCACAACATGAAAAGAGACGTTGTATATCGTATGTGACACAAGATACCATACCCCCTGGACGACTGATCTTCAAAGCTCATAACGATTACAATCCATAAACGAAACGATTGTTTTCGTAAAGCTCTCGACGAGACGGCGTCCACACCGCCATTTTCTACGCTGCCACTCACCTTGTTGTGAAGAAACGAGCTTTGAAAGCCGGTTCAGAGGGCTAGTGGTATCTTGTATCACCTACGGTAGACTCCGTATTTTTTGGCGGTATTTAGGTCGCACATACATGTACATACTCGTGGGGGCCGCAGGTAGATAGAACAGAGCTGCGGTACGATGCAAGCGCGGGAGGACGGAGTATTGCTCTCAATTTTGCCCGAAACAGAGTGCCTCTGGGTTGCTTGCTCACTGTTGCTCCCTGTCTGTCGTCCGCTTGGTAAATTATGGACGCTGCAGGCGGCGGCGGAAGCTCGCGGCGACCCACGCGGCAAAGGCTCGACAGCCTGTGCCGGGGGGGCTGAGCGACCTCAAGATTGGCGTGCTAGGTTGCATGGCAGAGCGGCTGAAGGTATGTATATGACACACATCATTGGATTGTGCATCCGTGCATGATTAAGTCGTTGCCCGGAAGGTCGGCCGACACCTTGCCATGAAAGTACTACCGAATCGCGCTGGGACTCCTGCCTCTTGCGGGAGAAGAGGGAGAATGAAAGTGCCTAGAGGTAACACGAGAGTGCATCCTACCCCCTCTTATCTGCACACTCCGCAGCTATGCTACGACCCTATGATACCGATGAGATCATAGGTGTGGTGACATGGCAGGTGGTGTCAGCCGTGGGAGGTGTCATATACATGGTCAAGTTCGGCATGCGCACCAAACCTACTACTCCAGCGTAGCATGTGATCACAATTTTGTGATGTTTTTTCAATTCCCGTGTGTCTACTATGTCGTTCATGAGCAAACAAATGCCGAGGCAACTGTTGCGTACTTCAGCGCGGACAGGCACACGCTCTTGAGGTCCTGTCGGGCCGCACCCAAAAACTCTCGGTTTCGCCCTGCCGTCATTTGTGCCATTTCTCATTACCCGTTGAAGGAGAGTCTGCTAGAGCGGGGCGGGGTGGATCTAGTGACTGGGCCCGATGCCTACCGAGACCTTCCTCGCCTGCTGGAATTGGTCGGCACATCCGGCAGCGGGGAGAGCACGGGTGCCGTCAATGTACAGGTGGGCTCCATTTGTGGTCGCTGGTCATTTTGGGTCGGGTTAGGTCGTTTTTTCACGCGCGTGTAGAAAAGAAACATGCCCATACTATGAAGTCCTAGAGAATGTGTCCTGTTTTTTTTGTCTGCATTTCGACAAGAACTGCTTTGCCCCACGCCCGATTTGACGTTTTCTCGCCCCCCCCTGTGCTCCCCCCCCGCCCCCCCCGGTGTTTGCCATCGGGGTTTGGGTTTCGTCGCTTGGCAACGACGTTGTAAAACAAGCCCCTCACTCGGTGTTTGCCATCGGGATTGGGTTTTCGTCGATTGGCAACGACGTTGTAAAACAAGCCAACTCACTTCGTGAACTCGGCAACCAGGTTACCGTTTTTTTTTTTTTTACCTCGGTTTTTTTTTTTGGCGGTAACCATAATGGTGGTCGAGTAGATTATGTTGTGCGGGGTCGAGAACCCTTACTCCGCGCAACGGGGTATGATCGCACCACGTTGTGTTAAAATGGTCAAGCTTCCTCGAGGCAGTTACACAGTGCTTACAACTGTCTCTGGAAGTGAAAGCACCAGAAAATAAATTAAGTCATACGCAGCTGTCATCCGTACGCAAGGAAGTAAGCACAAGATGCCGAACACCCTTAGCAGGATGCAGCTCACCCTTCATGCGACTCGCCAAATACCTCACGGCGCTTCGCGCTTGGTGATGTGAGAGCCTGGTCCGGTGAGAACCCGGCGTGCTCCGTCCCGGCTTTGTAGGGGTGCGAGGTCAATGGTCAAACGACTACGGCATGCACGACTATGAGTACACCCCCCTCCCCGGTGTTTGCCATCGGGGTTTGGGTTTTCGTCGCTTGGCAACGACGTTGTAAAACAAGCCCCCCACTCGGTGTTTGCCATCGGGATTGGGTTTTCGTCGCTTGGCAACGACGTTGTAAAACAAGCCAATTCACTTCGTGAACTCGGCAACCAGGTTACCGTTTTTTTTTTTACCTCGTTTTTTTTTTTTTGCGGTAACCATAATGGTGGTCGAGTAGATCATGTTGTGCGGGGTCGAGAAACCTCACTCCGCGCAACGGGAGATGATCGCACCACGTTGTGTTAAAATGGTCAAGCTTCCTCGAGGCAGTTACACAGTGCTTACAACTGTCTCTGGAAGTGAAAGGACCAGAAAATAAATTAAGTCATACGTAGCTGTCATCCGTACGCAAGGAAGTAAGCACAAGATGCCGAACAACCTTAGCAGGATGCAGCTCACCCTCCATGCGACTCGCCAAATACCTCACGGCGCTTCGCGCTTGGTGATGTGAGAGCCTGGTCCGGTGAGAACCCGGCGTGCTCCGTCCCGGCTTTGTAGGGATGCGAGGTCAATGGTCAAACGACTACGGCATGCACAACTATG